ACAGTATAGACCAGGATTTTTCAACTTGGGGCTGTGGACCTATATTAGGTAAATGGTTGGGTTGCCCCCCCCCCCCCCCCCCCTGCGGCCGGCCGCGGCCCCGCGCCCCGGCTCGCTCCCCCCCCCCCCCTTCCCCCCCCCCCCCCCCCCCCCCCCCGTTGCTGAAATTCGCAAGTGGGATTCTATACCCCCCTCCCCCCCCACCACCACCACCAGCACTTACCAAGTGCATCTCCCCCCAATGGGCTGCTGACAAGTCCAGTGTCCCCAGTCGGGTCTTGTGGTTGGAAAGGCTGAGAATCCCTGCTCTATACTGCCCCCACCCCCACCATTTCAATCAAATGTAGCCATATTTAGCCTGTTTTCAGAGCCATCAGTTATATAACTATTAACCTGGTGAGTTGATGCTTAGGAAGTGATGCTGTCAAAAATGATTTTTTTCCCCAGTTGAGACCTTTTTCATGAAATACAGTCATTATAAACATAAAGGTAAAACTAATGGAGTGATAATGTTTATGAAAATATGAGTAAGTTACACTGCTTTATTATATGTGTACATTACTGTTTGTGTTCTATATTACATGTGCAACACAAACACAACAAAAGCCAGAAGTTCATTGTAGAAAGCACATCTATAGTTTCCTTTATTTTCAGAGCTTTCTCTCACATCATGTTCCCCAAATGCCAGCCCCTGTTCATCCTAGAATAAAATCACAATAACAAATCTTTTTAGAGTCTCAGGGTTTTCAGTGCCCAAAAACAATGTGTAATATGTAAGGAATAAACCACAACTCGTCAAATAAAATAGTAGCAATCTACTTATGCATTGATTCTTTCAGAATATGTCCCATGCCATCTGTCATTCCATTACTGCAGCTGCAGTGTTGCCTTTTTCTTTAAAATAAATCCATAATAAGCATATGCAGTCATTAATATTTACACCATAAAGAATGGATCTTGTAATTTTGTTTGTAAAACCTTTTACAAAACAATTACTATTTCAAAACAAAAACAAATTCTATTTCACAAATGAGATGAAGCACTATTGCAATTAAAATTTTTCCAACAGACTGATACGATATACATGGTAATATGTCTTGAAGGTAGGAAAACTTCCTAAAAAGATACTTCTGAGCATTGGTACTTAGTATAGGATGGTGATCTTATTCTGCTGCAATGGGGGGTGAAAATGATCAGCTATGGGAGAGGAAATCAGTTGTGAAGTATTGGAAGCCATTTACATGTGTATAAAGAACTTTTACAAAAATGCACGCATTTGGAAATAGGAGAAGGATAAGATTTTTGGTGAGAGATGAAGCTACATCAGATTTCAGAGCAAAGCCAAAACATAATGGCTGCTATAGACAACAGATGATAGTGTGGCAGCTATCTGGACTATATGAGCTAAATTTAAGCATAAAGAGCTACCTGACTGATTACTCTTTGTATTCATTTGGACATTTATGGGAAATTTCAGGTGTGAAAGCAGATATAAAGAAGTTGCCCATCATTGGATTAGCAGCATGAAATTTCATACTGTCAGCAAAAAGGCTTTTATTAGCTTTGTAGTGAAGTCTCTAATTTCACTTGACAATGTTTAATCAACGCTACATTGTAGTGACGGAAATGTTATTTACAGTATTACCAGCCGTAGTATTTTCTGATATGGAAATATGTGCTTCCTGATATGGATGCATGCCTAAAATCACTCCATTCATTTCCATCTTTAAAGAATCAGTGACACACAGAAGGTTCAGTGGAGAACATTGAACCCTTATGAAATAAACATGCTGGATAAAAAGGATAATTAGCTATTGTGTATATATGCCTGGATAGTACAGTAAACAGATTCAGAAGTTTAGTTAAGATGCAATATAATGGCATATAAATTTTGTGCATGTGTGTATATGTGTTATATAAGTATATTTTTTTTATGTAAGTGTATTTTGTCACTTCTTTGGTGTCATTTTAAGGATTTAAATTGACAGGTTGTTAGAACCTGTTGTAAACCCTTTGAATTTTTATGCTAATTGAAGTTCTGTTTTTCAAAAGGGAAAACTGCATTTTTAAAATTGTCAAAATAGCGATGTAACACAAGTCCAGCATATCATAAATCGTCTGAATGATCTTGCAACTGTTTGATAAAATTGATTTGACTGAACAATAACCTAGAAATTACACAAATACATTTTAAAAAGACAGCTGAAACTGAACTGAAATAGCTGAAAGTCATAGCTATTGCTCTTGCTTACTCAGTAGACTTAATCCAATGTTGTACAAATGTATGCTATTGCTTACTTTGCACCCATGGCCTTTATGCTTGAGATGGAAAAGCAATGCATAGTTCCAGCCATGTTCCATGTGTCCTACAGTATGTAGGGTCACATGGTTTGGAAGCTCTGGGTACAAGGCAGAGACTAACTGAGAAGCAGATGCCAACCCGGTTCACACACATACCTACAGGCAACATCAGTTAACTTCAGCATGTTTTTGGATTGCGGGGGGAATAAACCAGAGTACCTGGAGGAAATCCCACAGCAACACAGGGAGAACATGCAAACCCCACACATGAGGCCAGGGCAGAGACTCGAACCCAGGTCCCAGCGGTGCAAGGCAACCATGGCAAGGTACCTTTCACAAATAAAGGGGCCATTACAAACTTCTTTTATTGGGTCTTTGAGAAATTAACCAAAAGAAATCTTGCCACTACTTTTGCCATCTTAAATTTATGAAAATATGCATGTATTTTTCAAAATGATGTAAATCTGCTGCAAGGTTAGCAGTATTGCTGTTATTTTTACATTCTGTTCTTACACCTACCCTGCCTATGTAAACTCAAATAAAAACTGCTTTAAATGATCAATCATTTACTTCGTGCAAGAACAGTAGCTTCACAGATTAAATTGCATGAGAAAAGAAATAAATTTAATTTTACAATTGACCTACATTCAGAACTATGTTTTTCAAAATGTTGATGGATTATTGCCTCATAAAACTCACATTGCATGAATAGTTTATTGTACTAAATTTACTCTTGAAATAAGTGTTTGTCCAAGATCACAACAGCAACATGATCAACAACTGTCACAATAATGACAATTATCATCATTATTATTTTTGATTTTTTTTCAGCCTTCCTGTTTTGAATTTAATCTTTTATTGGTCGTGATTGCATATACAGCAAGCCTTGGAAGGGTAAAAAAAAAATACATACGGATTATTATTCTTTCATTCCTCTGGCAGGCAAGGTAATCAAATGTGCACTCATCCAATATCCTACGGTGTCTTCATCACACGGCTGCAGACGGGGGCTGGAGCTTCTCCCAGTTAGCATAAGGCGTGAGACAGGGAACAGCATGGATGGGATGCCAGTCCATACACACTATGGCCAATTTAGAGGCAACGGTTCACAGAAGTGCATGCCTTTGGACAGCAGCAGGAAATAAGGAGAATATGCAATAATATCAACACAAACACAATTATACAGGATTGTGGGGAGTTTACCTATAAGTGGCCACCCTGTCATAAGTACTCCATGTGAAATAAGACTTTGAAAACACCTAGTATTATATAATCAATAAAAACACGTAAAATACAATTGTTTTGAAGTCGTTTTTAGTCAGACAGTAGCGGTCAGTGCAGGACTTCAGATACAAATCCAAGTCCTAATGGTTCACAGGCTGATTATTACTGCCATTTCAACAACACAACACAAAAGCTGCCCTGCATAGCTTGCAATTAAAGGACAGGATAACCACCTCCAGCTCAATCCCAATAAAGCCAAGGAGCTGGTGGTCAATCGGCACAGCACTCGTCAGAATCCAGTCAGCCCAGTGAACATCCGGCGAGTGGATATCGAGGCTGTCAGGTCTTATAAGTATTTGAGTATTTACATGAACAATAAACTGGACTGGACTGACAACGCTGATACGCTTTACAGGAAGGGCTAAAGCTGGCTCTGCCTGCTGAGGAGATTATGGTCTTTTGCAGTCCAAGGGGTGCCCCCAAGACCTTTTATGACTCACTGGTAGCATCAGCAGTCCTGTATAGCATCGTATGCTGCAGTGGTGTCTCTGTGGCAGGCAGGAACAGGCTGGACCAGCTGATCAGGAAGGAAGCAGAGCAGTGTGCTTCAAATGACCTCACAATATATCAGGATTTTTTTGGAGAACAGAAGAAATTTTTGTTTATTTTTTTTCTGTTGATTTAGACATGTTCTAAAATTAAATTGCGTTTTCAACAACCCAGAAAAATAGTCTCGAACATTTTCCTTGACTGCGTAAGAAGTTTGCATAGTACTGCAGGCGTGCCCTGTGATGGACTGGCATCCCGTCCATGGTGTAATCCTACTTTGTGCTGTGCCGCCTGAGATAGGCTCCAGGTGACACTGATAAGTGGCTAGAAGATGGATGGACCATCGCTGGAAGGCATTTATTTTGTGGTTTTTAGTTTCAAAAACATCTATTTTCATTTTTAGACTCAAAAGCAACCCAGCAACCACTGCAGCTAGAGATGAATAAATTGAAATGATGCATGAAATAACAGGATTTCACAGGATGAGGCAATGAGTTCCAGCAGATGGTCCTCTGTGTGGCTATGCAGGCAGTTATTAGCAACAGTCAAAGTTAACTCCCAAGTTTGTGATTCCATTGCATACATGCAGGTGTGTGGCCATTTGCTTGTGATTAGAAGGTTGCCAGTTCAAATCCTGCGGTCAGCAGAGTGGTTTCATCATTGGGTCTTTCAGCAAGGCCTTTAACCTCAAATGGGGACTGGCGGTCCCTGTTTTCTCAATTGTACATCGCTTTGAATAAAAAGTCTGTCTAAATTTATGTAACCCAGTGAATATATTTGCTTTAAGAGAAATTGCCCTACTAGAGGTTTCATTGCTGTTGTGCTGTCAAGGTAGAAAATTCAGGCAGGATTTGTATAACTAGAAAGAAACCAGGGAGATATTTTCTGTAAAAGCATATGCACAATTGCTACATGTTCTGTTACAGATGCTTGCCCAGTGTTATGCAGTGGGAACGGGGACTACCAAAGAGGCCACTGCATGTGTCACCAGGGCTGGAAAGGACCTGAATGCGACATCCAGGACGACCAGTGTCTGGACCCAACCTGCTCCAATCATGGCACCTGCATCCAAGGCATATGTGTGTGCATTCCGGCATACAAGGGAAACAGCTGTGAGCAAGGCAAGTCCCTTACCCCCCCCCCCCCCCCGCCCGCTTGATGTAGAGTCAGGCCCAATTGATTTAATTGATTTTGGTGTAATCAGCTGTAAGCATACTACATACTACTGTGTATGGTTAATTCAATGGGGTTGCATGTTTTTTGTTTAGTTTCAAGGGGCGGTGTGTGGGCACGTGATTGAAAGAGTACTATTTCAAATCCCATGATCAGTGGAATAATTTCACCGTTTGGTCCTTGAGCAAGAAGCTTAACCCCCCCATGGCTTCAGGGACTGTTTGTTCCTGCTTTCTCCACTGCATGCTAATAAACACGTTAATGTATTTTATATTCAAAATGGTTATTTAGGACATACAGGCAGTCCATAGTTTAAGAACGTTCCACTTATGGACAACTCGTACTTACAAAGGACTGTCATAAAGCTGATTATATTAAAAATTTAGGTAAATACAATGGTTCGTAATAACAAAGGCACGCACTTTGTGATGCTCATGAAAACATTCACAGGTTTTTTGCTCCTAGGTACTACATTACCAGATGTAGTTACTTTTTTATTACTGTAATTAGATTCAATTACAATTTAAATATTACTCAGCACTACACTTGTGCTTACCTACTAAATGCAGCATTGTGAGTGGAGAGTCCTCACACATATTTTCTGTCTGGCTCCTCTTCAGTTGACTGCCTCGACCCCCAGTGTGCTGGACATGGTGTTTGTGTGAAGGGGGAGTGCTTGTGCTCACCTGGCTGGGGAGGGGCTGGCTGCGGAAGCCCCCAGCCAGATTGTCAGGAGCAGTGCTCAGGACATGGAACCTACATGGCTGATGCTGGCACTTGCACCTGTGATCCCAGCTGGACGGGTACAGATTGCTCCACAGGTAACGCTAATTCACAGCGGTGATGCCTCATGTTTCTTGCTTGTTCCATTTCAAAATCAAGGAAGCAGAGAACATATTGTGAAAATATTGAAAAGGCACTGCATATATTCACCCCCATTGAACTATTTTGCGTTGTATTGTTTTACAACTTTGAACCACAACGAATTTAAGTTTTTTTTTTTGACACAGATAAACCAAAAATATTCTGTAATGCCACCATATTCACAAATCTCTATGAAGTGATCTAAATCAATTACAAGTACAGTATAAACCATAAAATAATATATTGCAGCAGTATTCACCCCCTTCAAGTCAGTGTTCTGCTATCTGCTATCAGCCTTGCACGTTTGCACGCTGCAGTTTTTCCCCATTCTTTTCCGTGAAATTGCTCACGCTGTATCGAGTTGCACGAGGAGCATGACTGAACAGCTATTTTTAAGTCCAGCCACACAATCTCAATTGAACTTGCTAAGTCAGCGCCCCGCCAGAAGCTAACACCCTAGGCGGCTACCTATGCTGCCGGATAGGCCGGCTGGCCCTGTGTTTAGTACATATTAATGCTCGCAAGAAGGTTATTCTGTAGATTTGTGGTTTTAGTAGCAAAGTAGTTTGTTTTGTATCTGTACCAATAAAAGATCTTTTATTATTGATATTGTTATGTTATTTTATTTATTGGAGATGTGGGAGAATATGCATTAGTTCCTTCACTAAATAAATATGAGGAATACTAAGTAAGACAGTGATGAAGGTATGAATAATCAAGAACAACCATTCAAACAGCAAAGCAGGGCAACGGGGAACAGGTGGAACTATAATACATGAGTACTGGATGAGGGAACTCCATGGAAAAGGACCAGTACAGGCAGAACATAATAAAACAGAGCAGAAGCATGCTAAGTCAAAACAGGGAAGCAAGGATACTAATAACAAACACTAGGGGGGGGGGAAACAGAAAATAAAATAGGTGAAGCTGGACTAGAATCCACAACCAGAGGATTCTCAGCTTCTAAGCCAGGCGCTCAACCCAAAGTAGCTATGTGACAGTTTGGGGAACAGCGAGAACACACTAGAGTTAAAACGATAGAGACAGAGAAGGAGGGGGAAAGGCAGAACGGCCAGCGACAGCAGGAAATTATTTACAATATCAAAGGGCTGTGGTTTCTTAACTATTAGAGATACAGTTTTAATATTGGGGGTTTCTCCGTAAGGTATAGATATAGGAGCAACTATGATTTTTTTCAGGGCAATCTGACATGACATGGGACCGTCTGGGTGATTTGATATGGAATGACCCAATAGCAACAACTAAATTTACTCTATTTACAAATAATTCAATTCAGTTTTTTACATTTTCCATGCATCATTTCTGACTCTTTCCTCTTATTCCAATTATCTATCAGTAGCACACCAGACACCTTAATGAATATTTTTCCTCACATTCTGAGTACAAATTATCCCTTGCTAGCAGTTTTTGGTCCCTTTTCCACAATTAATTCCTTGGTTGTATATAAAAATACTCCTCACTTAATGACGAAGTTCCGTTCCTATGACTATAGTTTTGCAACTGATCTTGCCAAGGGGACACCCTTGGTGTGATAATTCTCCACCATAGGGCATATACACTCACATGTAACATTAAAGGATACACACCAGTTTGCTGAAATTCGCCATCAACACATACTGTAGATCTGCAAGCAGGAATTAAAACTACACATTGGATTTTTGAAGCTACAGGGAACACTTTTAAATAACTGAAATATAAAAACACATAAAACAGCATATTGTACAAAACTGCACATATTATTATCATGTGCAGGCTTTGGAACATGGTTCTAGAGAAATAAACAAGTCACACAGTCTTGTATTGACTTGAGTACTAAATGTACCAATTAGTCATTAATATTGCTGTCAGCAGTCTTTTGAACACGAAACAGAATAAATTTAACAAAATGTTCAGTTCCATTCAATTCAATTCAATTTATTTTTGTGTAGCGCATTTTCACATTACATTGTCTCAAAGCGCTTTACAGCATCCCCCAGAGAGCAAGCCAGAGGCGACAGTGGCAAGGAAAAAACTTCCTAGTAGGAAGAAACCTTAGGAGGAACCAGACTCAAAGGGGGAGCCCATCCTCCTGGGGCCAGCAGAGGAAGTTAAAACAAATTACTGGCCTGACTTCTGCCCACAATATCCCCTGTTTGCCAGTAAAAGTGTTTATACAGAGCTGTGCATTTCTTCATCTGTGAAGTCTGAAGCATTGAAATTGTGAAAGTGTAGATAACAATATTCACAGATAAGTTTACCTGTAACATTTCTTCTAAACATATAGAGTTGCATTTAAAACACCTAAGGTTCAGGCATTACATTAAGGTAGTTGGTATTTTTAACTTGTCTTCTCTGCATTTTTTAACACAGGTTTTGAGTTTAGAATTGATAATTGAAGGTTGTGGGGTAATTCTTCAGACCTCATTTTCTCCATTATGCTCCTCCCACTTAATAGCTCCGCCCAAAAGTCATCCACAAATTACTACATTTATATTTTAAATAGATGGTCAGTCTAATGATGCCATAGTACAAACTTGTATTTTACAGTCCTTGTAATACAATGACAGTAGAGTTTATTCTAGACTTGATTAGAAGCAGGCATATAAGGTTGTTTATAATAAAAAGTTATTGTATAACATTTGAATAAAGCTTTGAATAGAACACTGAAACTGTAATGGGAGCTCCAGAATTTAAGGTACATAGATACTATAGCATTTAATTTGTAGTAATATTCATATTAAATTTTTTTCTCAATTAAAAGTTTCTGATTTTGAGTAGAGAATTCCAAAATGGGAATTTAAGTGTTTCTGAGGAAATTCAGATCTAATATCTTGTATTACGTGGAACCATGAAACACTGGAGATATACTGTAATTCGTCAGAGTGACATGGAGGTCATTTTTTCTTATTTTTCCCTGCAGAGCTTTGTCCTTTGTCGTGCGGAAATCGCGGAGTGTGCGCAGAAGGTCGCTGTCGGTGTGAGGAAGGCTGGGAAGGCCTGGGGTGTGAGCAGCAGATCTGTCACCCTCAGTGTGAGGAACACGGCCAGTGTAGAGATGGGAGGTGTGAGTGCCACCCGGGCTGGGAAGGAGAGCATTGCAACACTGGTGAGTTTCATTCCAAATTGGGCGACATATTCTGTCCCTGTTTATGATGTTATTTCACGCAGCCGATTAGATAACGCTTTCATACGCATCACCCATGCAGCTATCCTCTCCGCATAAGTGTGCTTACATTTAATGGGTAAATGCCAGACTCAGGGATGCAGAAAACACTGAATTGTAATCTTTCATTTAATTTCTATTTCTTCCTCTCTGCCAGCAAACTATGTGGATCTGGTTCTTAAAGGTAACGTACTATATTTATTTATCTACAGTCTTAAAATAGTTGCCAGCCAGTATTATATTTCTGGTTTAGATATTAACTTGTATATGGCAACAAATATTTCCCAGAAATCTATTCTGGGATTAAACCCTCTGGTATAGAAGCCTTGGATGTCTTCTGCTAGAGTCAACTTGAACCTCTCAGGCACCTGACTCATCTAAATATTGTCATTTTCAGTTAATGTTCTTCTCTCACTTGTCAAAGTGATTTTACACCTAAAGAGGATTCAGGTTTTATTGCAGATGTAGTTGGTTCCTGTAGTGCAGATTCCCCCCGAAGTTGCTGGACGTCATGGCTGGCCTGTACATTGGTCCTGTCCTTTATGTTTATAACTAAGATTTGACAGCGTGATATGGAGGTAACGCACCTTTTGCAACTGTGTCCAGAGGACTGCCTTTTGTGAGCTTGCCTCAGCTTTCTGGCTGTGGCTGTGGGTTAGTGGTAATTTTAAAAAATATCTTTCTTATGTCAAACAGTTAGTACTGTGCTGTATAATTCTTTTGAGGGGCTTGTGTTTAAAGTTGATTGCTGTAATCCTCTATATTGTATTTTGACTTACAGTATCACCTGGTGTTGTTGGATCTTTTCTTTTGGATTTTCCACATTTTTTAACCTTGGTTGTTAACCTAGATAAGGTTATAATACTGGGTGATTTTAACCTTCATGTTGACGATCCACTTTGTAAATTGGCGGATGATTGTTTTTTAATCCATAACGGACACTTTTAATCTTATTCAGCATGTTTCTGGCTCTACTCACCTCAATTGACATACATTGGACTTAGTACTTTCTCTTGGTGCGCTTATTGATGATCGGTGTTTAAATTGTGTTGTTTTTAGTGATCACAAGTCCATATCTTTTAAACTAATCTGTAGTTCAGAGTTGCTACAACTAAAAAAAGTTAAATGTGGTTGCATTATAACCAATTCCATTATGTCTGAGTTCTCCCAGTGGTTTAATAACTCTGTATTATCTAATAAAGACAATGTGGAATCACTGGTGCAGTCTTTTAATGATCGTTGTACTGACATTTTAAATTACATTGCTCCATATTCAGTGAGCCGTCATTTTGTCAATTACAGTATGCTGCTCCTTGGCTGTCTGACTCAATTAGGAGTTTTAGATGCCAGTTTCGCAAAACCGAGCATTTGTGGAAGGCCACTGGTCTGGTGGTTCATCATGAGCATCTTAAAGATCAGCTTTTGTTATACAATGACATGGCAAAAGAAGAGATTTCGCAAATCTCATTGCTGCTTTTAAACACGACTCCAAATGACAATTTAGCACAATTAATAATATTGTTTCTGTTCCACTACCCAGTGCTCAGGTCTTTTCTAAAGAAGATGTAATAAATTTTAAAAAAATTTTGAGCATGAGGTTAAGGATCTGAGGTCAAATATTCAGTCTCCTTTGTCTCCTGATCCTCCTGTGTATTGTTTCACCCCTTTCTATCCAATTTCGCTTGCTGATCTCTTTGATTTATTACCTAAGATGAAACCTTCTTCTTTCCCTTCTGAAATTTTCTTCCCGGTTCTGTTCTGCTTGGAGCCTTTGATACTGTAGCTCCATTTTTAGTATCAATTATAAACTGCTCCTTGCTGCAAGGTTGTGTCCCCTTGTATTTTAAACAGGCGGTTGTACACCCTCTATTGAAGAAACCTAACTTAGACTCTTCTTTACCTGACAGCTTTAGACCAATTTCTAAATTACCTTTTATTAGTAAAATCTTGGAAAGCGTGGATGAACAGCAGCTTGGAGTCTGTTTGGAGAAATGTGAGTTTCTTGATCCGTTTCAGTCAGGTTTCCGTAAAAAGCATTCTACTGAAACAGCTCTTCTTAAAGTTTTTAATGATGTTTTAATGGCTACAGATAATGATGTTCAGTGTTGGTACTCCTTGACCTTACTGTTGCATTTGACACAGTCGATCACAAAAGTTTAAGTAATAGGTTACAGAATTTGGCTGGGATTTCTAGTTCTGCATTAAATTTCATCTTACTTATCAAACACGTCTTTTTCTGATATGTCAGCATTAAATAGCGGAGTACCTCAGGGATCTATCCTTGGACCCCTCCTTTTTTCTTTATACATACTTCCTTTGGCTATTATTAGGTCTTTTAAATACACGCCTTATTATATCTATCCAGTCGATATTTATCTCTTTTAAGCCCCGCCAGCTTCATAAGCTCTCTATTTTAACTGATTGTTTTATGCAGATTAAAAATTGGCTCTCTAATAATTACTTGTTCATGAATCATCAGAAGACTGAGGTTATGATTGTATCACACCCCAGTTTTCGGGAGGTTATCATTTGGGTGATTGTGCCTATCTCGTCGAATGCTCAGCCTAATGTATGTAACCTTGGAGTGGTTTTAGATCAGTTCTTATCTTTTGATGCTCATATTAAATCACTTACACAATCTTACTTTTTCATTTAAGACAAACCTCTAAGCTCTGCAGGGTAGTGTCTAGAGCTGAGTTTCAAATGCTTATTCATGCTTTCATCTCATCTTGTTTGGACGATTGTAATGCTTTGTTTTCAGGATTGAATAAAACTTCTGTCTCCCATCTCAAAGCAGTTCAAAGTTGTGTCAGCTAGGCTTCTAACATGTTCTAGTAGACGGGTGCACATAACACCTATATTATCATCTTTGCATTTGCTTCCTGTTGATTTTAGGATAAGGTTTTAGATCATTATTATTACCTATAGGGTTCTGAATAGTCAAGCCCCAAAGTATTTAATGGATCTCCTTAAAAATTATGAAACCACCCGAGTGCTCAGATCTCAGGAGAAAGGGTTATTCGTTGTTCCACGCACCAAGTGTAAGACTCATGTGGATTATGCCTTCCAGTCTGTTACCCCGAGGTTATGGAATGATTTTCCTCCTTCAGTACGTAGAGCTGGTTTGGTTGATTCTGTTAAATGTAGTCTGAAAACCATTTCATTTAAACAACCTTTTGTTTAGATATCCTATATATATACATTTGATTCTACGGTTCATCAGGGGTGTGTTCTTGCTCCTATTCTGTTCAGTGTTTGCTTAGACTGGGTGTTGGGCAAGGTCGGGGGGACCAGCGACTGTGGGGCATCTGTGATGAAGAAAGATTCAGACTGATCATGACTTTGCCAATGATGCTGTGATCTTTGCAGAGTCAAGTCATGTCTGGCACAGGGAAGCAGGCGAAGGAAGCCGTGGATACGAACAAAAAGGATTTATTCATGAGGTTACACACCCCAAAACACACGTAACATTAATGACCAGACTGGGGAAACAAACTGAAACGTGGACTAAATACATTGAACTAATGACAGCAAAAGGAAACGGCTTGTGAACATGGGGAATCCACACTGGGTAGATGAGGGGGCGTGGCACACGGGAGGATCGGACGAGTGGGGGCATGACAGAATCCCCCCCCGGGTGCGCCTAAGGGGAGCGAGGAATGGGACCGGGGACACGGGACCTGGAAAACAAAAGCAATACATCAATGGGGAACTGGGAACAAGACAGACACACAGAACAGACACAAAGCCAGTAGTCCAGACAACAACTGACAAATAACAGAGAAAGCAAACAGGAACAGGGGCAACAAAAACAGAGACACAGGGGGAACATCAACGGGTGGAACGAAGGGGCCAGGAGTGAATGAAGGTGAAACAGGAGGACAAGGAGTAGACACAGGGGGCACAAAGGTAGAGGGCAAGGAGGCAAAGGGCGGGGGGAAATGGGGAGTTGGAGGGAACCCCAGCAGGTGAGGGGCAGAAGCCACAGGGGCAGCAGGTGACCGCAAGGCCGGAGCCGAAGGAGGGAACGTCAAAGGGGGCGAGGAGGAAGGCGGCGGGACCAACGAAGGAGGCGAGGAGGAAGATGAAGGGGACACAGGCAGAGGGGAAGAGGGAACAGCAGCCATGGCATTTAGAGACAGATATAGCTATGTGTCATCTGCATACTGATGAAACTTGATTTAATGTTTATTTTTCATACATGATAGGAGTGACATGTAAATGTTAATTAATATATGTCTTAAAATTGAGCCTTGGGGGACTCCACATGTAACGGCTTGATGCTTTGAGACATAGGTATTAAGTGCAACACAGTATTAATACCCACTTATGTATCATCTGGACAAGTCTAAAACTGTACCAGAGAGGCCAATCCAGGTACGCAGTTGGTAGCACTGACATCTAGAAGAACCAGAATGGAGAGGTTACCTGAGTCTTTGTTTAACCTTAAATCATTCAGCACTTTAAGATGAGCCATTTCAGTACTATGGTGTGCTTGAAAGTCAGACTGACACTTCGAGGAGAATATTAGTATTAAGATAATCAATCAACTGAATGGACTGAACTTTCTCAATTATTTTACCAAGACATGAAAGGTTAGAGATTGGCATATAATTACTGAGCACAATACCATCAAGATTACTTTCCTTCAACAAAGGCTTGATAATAGCAGTTTTAAGACATTGTGTTAAAATTCCTTTTTTCAGAGGAGGAATAACAATATTCAGAACATTTGCTGACAATGCGTTTAGAACTTGTTTAAATTACTTTGTGGGGAAGGGATCAAGAGTGCAGCTTGATGAGTTCAGAAGTAATATAACTTGGTTATGATTAGTAAATTAAGGTCGATAGGAGAAAAACCAACCAGATTACTTTGAACAGTACAGCGTGGTTGATTAACGTTGAGGTTTTAAGGATGAGTATTCCTTGCCTCTTATAACCCAAATTTTATCAGCTGTTAGATGCTCAGATGAGATACGTGGGGAAGGGTTAACAATCTATCTGTAGTAGTAAAAAGGGATTTGGGGTTGTCCTTGTTATTTTCTATCAGATTTGAGAAGTAGAGCCTCCTGGCATGCTTCAATCAACTGTTTGAGGCTTTTAGATTATTTTTGAAAATATCACAATGAATCAATAGCTTTGTGCACTTCCATTGTCTTTCTGTGCGTTTGCAGTCTCTTTTGAGTTTTAAAAATGGACTTGTAATCCTGCTTGGGGCTCTCACTCTATTTGCTACAGTAATACAGATTCAGTGGGGCAATAGACTTTCTGTAATTCTGGAGTTAAATCTCTCTACCAAAGCATTACATGGGAGAGGTACGTAGTTCAAAAAGAGGAATAGAGAACATAAGGTTATTAGATGCATCAGCGGAATTAATCGGAACATAGTGTTTAGTAACCTTTCACTTACCATTCCAGCGTGTCGTAATCACTGGCCTCCCAAAGAAGACATAATAATGGTTATAACCCATCTGCTACTCGAGAAAGCTTAATGTCCGAACGATAAGATATCACTAAATCCAGGATGACCTTATTTATGAGTGCGGCCTGTCACATGCTGCAACAAGTCGAATGAGTTTAATATTCTCATAAAATCTATGCTTCTATGTTCTGTCGCCATGCCTATATGAGTGTTACAATCAAAAGTTAATAAAACATTCAAAATCATAGTAAAATGTTAGTCAGAAAGTCCCCAAACTCATTAAGAAAACCCTAGTCAAGGCTAGGTGGATGATAGATAGCCAGCATAAACATGAACAGATTTATCACATTTGAGATGCATTGCAAGGTATTCGAATGTAGAGAAGTCCCGATAAGAAGTAGCTTAGTGCATATTATGAAACAAACATGCTCCCCCACCTCCCTTTCTGTTCAGCCCAGACACTTTGAAAAAACTCAAATTGGGAGGACATGTTTCATTAAGTACTGGGTCAGCCAAAATTTATCAAGCAAGGTCTCAATAAGGAAAATGACATCGAGATCCTGGTTTTCAATCTGCTGGCCTACTATGAAAGATTTGTTGCTGAGTGGGCATTCAGTACCACATATTTAAGAACCTGCAGTATCGGTTTGTCTTCAGGAAGGTTGGGACACTTTGCACGAATTAAATTATACTCATCTGAAGCTTTCTTCTGCCTCTATCTTATGCTGCCATGCCACCTGCTATTACAAATAGGGATAATTTAGCTGCTGGCATAGATTCTGACATATCAATTACTAACAGGTGGTAAATCTCATTCATATGGCACAGATCCTTATCCATCCCCCCAAGCACACTTCTACATATGCAAAGCACGTCTTTAGCAGGTGAATGTGGCTTTTGTTGAGTGACACTGTCTCTGATAATATTCCTGGATGGGTGAGAGATGTTGTACAACAGATTTGATTTAAGCATTTGTGCCCCAGAAAAGTGGAAGTACAACCCATCACGTTTAAACAGATATGTGCGTGGCCTTGACAGATTAAAGTTGTCAAAGAAACGTGCTTTGTGAGTCACACATGTAGACGTGAGCCGGTGTGCAGTCCCAGCAGGCTGCTGAAATTGCTGATCTCTCAGCCAACTGTGGGCAGTAGACCTGATATGTGCAGCCGCACCGGGAGAGATGTAAGGAGCTGCAGTAGGTGGGCAAAGTTGTGTTTTAGAGCCTCAGACTGATTTTACTGTAGGATTTCTGTTATTTGAGTTGTAAGATGTATTGGGTGTTTGCCACACATCCTCTTTTGTATTATGTCCAAAAAAGTGTTTTTTGCTGGACCACAGCACCTCTTGCCACCCGACTGACTGTAAGGTGTGTTTTAGTTTTTAGTGATATGGACAAAATGACCTGTCCTTAGCGTAAAGGTTTGTAGCTTCCTCAAAGGTGCAACTGGCCTTTTGAGTGCCTCACTTCCTCCGCATTCTTCTTGTGTGATCATCGAATTTGCAGGGTTGGTCTGATCTAGGCAAGCTTTGGATGGTGTGATATCTCATCCTGATGATGATTCCCATTGTACTACAAGGGATTGTTAAAGCCTGTGAGATCTTTGTGTACAGCCTTCTCCTAACTTCTGCCTTTCCAAAAACTTAATCTCCAAGCTCTTTTGAATGTGTCTTTCCACCCATTTCTCTCTTTGAAATGCACTGCAAAGCAGCAGAATCCTCTGGAGACAGCTGATTTTATCCAGAAGTAAAGTCAATACAGTTAATCACAGGTGGAGAGCAATTATCTTCTTGCGTGATCTGTTCAGTGATTGCTTTTATCTGATGAAGTTTACAGATGCATTTGGAAGGTATTTTACTGTTTTGATTTTATTAATTTCTTTTTTTTCTGAATATTTTTTTTCACCAGACTGTGGGATTATTGTCAGTGCTGTTTTATCTTTTTCAGTCTTAGGGGGCAATTGGATTAAAGGATTAATACACATATGGTATTAATCTTGAAAGAGTGAAAGACTTCCTATATGACTGTAACTAATTGATTTATGTAGAGGGTAACAAATATCAGTAAGAAATGTGTTTATGAAATTGAAGGTTTGGTACCATGGGTAATACGTTTAACTGGGCTTTTTTGTACCTGTTCTCTGGCAGATGGATGCCCAGGTTTGTGCAATGGCAATGGGAGGTGCACGATGGAGCACAATGAGTGGCACTGTATTTGCCAAGCCGGCTGGAGTGGCTCAGCGTGCAGTGTCACTATGGAGATGGAATGCAGTGACAGCACTGACAATGATGGAGGTGAGCCCCCGTCAAACTGCGTTTACGTAATTTGCCTGTAAAGCAAACTACATTGAAGGCTAATTTTCTAGCAAATCAGAATCAGGATGGAGAAATGTATATGCCTGAAGTAGTGCCCCCTTGGATCTAAATGAATAAATTAGCCATAACTGGATTGTAACAGGGCTATTATCACCATTTAAAGGAGTAGTTCTCCCCAGAATAGTAGTTTTTGAGATTTCACTTGTAGAAATGTCTGCCTTCTCTAAAATATAATGGCACTAAATGGCATTATTTCTGTGGTGATTAAAGCGACAAAAAAATACATTTGAAAAACACAACAGCAATGTCTCTTACCAGAAATCATGGCTCGGTTACTTAAGATAATCCATAGTCACTTGCAGTGAGCAGTTTTATGTAGGAACTGCTTTACTTCTACCTTACTCCACACACCAACCATATCACTGTGCTGAAGTTAGTGCTGGGCCATTTATACTCATGACAACGTGACCTAGTGTAAATATCAATGGCGTCCTACTTTGCTGAGCTGTAACGTTAGCTAAGCACAGGGATGCTACCTGAGCCAGCAGTATCGGTTTAGCAATGTTGGACTACTTACTCAACCTTACTTATTTTAACCACATACACATAAAATGTTATAGTAGTACACAGACCAAAGTCCAGAGCCCAGTTGCAGAATTGTTGATTTAGGTCTGGATCTTGGAGTTTGGAAAACAGTCTGTAGGGGAATATCATAATAAATGCTGAGTTAGCAGCATTCAAAAATATGTTATCTGGTGCGTGAGACAGTGTGACGGCAATAGTAGTGGTGTTTATATGGACCTGGTTGCCCTGTATGCATAGTGGTTTGGATCCAGGGTGGGAGATGGGAGACAGCACAAGTGTGGACTGTCTGGGGGTGTCCAGGGTGGGGGGCTCAGGAAACACTGCTTTATAGTATAACATGGACCGCACTGTGTTTCAGACGGGCTGACAGACTGTGTGGACCCAGACTGCTGCCAACAGGACAACTGCCAGACCAGCCCATTGTGTGAAGGCTCTCCGGATCCCATGGACATTATACAGCAGAGCCCCCAGCCACTTGGGTCATCTTTCCCACGCCTCTTCTTTGACCGCATCCGCTTCCTAATTGGCAAGAGCAGCACCCATGTGTTCCCTGCTGATGTTCCATTTGACAGCAGGTATGGCGAATTTCTCACTTGCCAGAATTCGTGGATCCTGAGCCTCAACACCTGTCAGTTGATCCAGTTTATTTTTTTTTCCTTCAAACCTTTAAGTTTGTTCTTAGAAGAAGTACTGCACAACAGATTGTACTTAAAACTAATGCAGCTTTTAAAAAAATCATGGTTTGTGTGTCTCCAGCTTGGTTCAATATAATTTTGTTACAAAAATCCAGGTCATTCAAAATTAGTTATTTGGCACTCTGTGGCACATAATTACTCCATGCATGGATGGGGCTGTCATTGAAGAAATATAGGACTTATTTGTATAAATAGAAAAGTATATGCATAGAGATGTACATGTTTCCATGGAGGTTGATGGAGAGTGTTTTCAGATGTAAAAATTTTGAATATGCTGAATAAGAATTCACACATTAATATATTCTGCAAATTATACTACGTCCTTAGAAATTTAAAGTGTTCTGCTGCATGAACACTTCGTTCTTTAGGCCATTGCTGTGCCAGCTGGTTTTAGTAAGGTCAGGTATTTCTTATCCAATTTAGATATCCCAGCTGATGAAAACCTATTTCTTCTCACTTTATTGAATATGTAAATATAATTTCTCTGCCATGCTCCTGCTGATTCTTCATAGTCGTGCAGCTGTGATCCGAGGCCGGGTGGTTTTAGGGGATGAGACCCCATTGATGGGGGTCAACATCAGTTTCCTGCATCATGCTGAATATGGCTTCACTGTTAGTCGCCAGGATGGCAGGTATGGTTCTACGGCGGGGGGAACCCCATGGACATTATGGCAGGTCATCACAGGGAACACAACAGAGGCAACCCTGTTCCTGGAGTGCCAGTATCCAGCAGGTTTCCATCTTGCATGAACCACACCTGATCTCAGGCAGATAGTAATTTATCAGGTAGGATACAAAACCTGCTGGATACCGGCAGTCTAGCATTATGATTGCCTTCCCCTGGTACACACAGATACATAATGAGCAATGAGCAATTTAGACTGTATGTCTTAAGACACAAGGGTTTTAAATCATTTACCAAACAAAAGACCATCCAACGCACATTTGCAAACAGATGCAATAACATGCATCTATAATAATATAGTTCTTTAAAGTAATACTGTATAGTACTAGACAGTGTTTGAAGCCATGTGTGATCGGAGGTGCTCTTTTTCAGCTTTGATCTGGTCGCTGCTGGCGGGATCTCCATGACACTGGTCTTCCAACGTACGCCATTTCTTACTAAGAGGCTCCCTGTTTGGTTGCCATGGAACCAGTTTGTGGTCCTGGACAAAGTCGTCATGGATAAAGTAGAACCTCAAGCCTCTACTTGTAACGTCAAGAATTTTGTGATCCCCTACCCCATTGTTCTACCCCCACCACTAACTCAGTTTGCAAGTACCTGTAGGGAAAGAGGACCAGTAGTCCCAGAACTGCAGGTATGAAAGGGATTGTTAAGTGTGGGTTAAAAAAATGATGGTATCTAACACATACCAGCTGCAGTGACTGTCTCTATGTGTGTATATTAGTTGTGTTTGACTGTAACCGACAGACAAAAAAACATAAAACTCTGTAAACCAGAAGTAAAGATAGGATCATGAAAGACAATATTTTATAATTAGTGGTTTCATTTCGGCAGCACATACAACACGATTTCAGCTTCCTTTGAGTTACATGTAAAATAACCGTCAGATTCATTCTGCAGAAATCTGTGTAACACCAATTAGAATAATGGCTTTAAGATTATTCATTTTGTGAGTTGTAAGCTTTCAGAACTTGTAAAGTTCAGGGGGTATGCTTACATTTTATAGATTGTTCTGTTAGACCATATGCATGTCATGGATTCTGTCACAGATAGAGTGTAAGGTTAAAGGACGTAGACTTGCTAATTTTAGACAGGCATATTAACTTAAATTACTTCAGTAAATTACAGTATGTGCTAAATGTATAAATCATACCTACTGTTTGATGGTTGCTTTTATTTTTCAGCATTCTCATGCACATGTAACCTTCACATATCAAGACACAGTGCAATATCAAATAAAAAGTCACAAAGCACTTTGTAACATAAAAACTGGTAATACAAAATGGTAAAACAAGTGCAAGAAAGTCATGTACTGTGGGATCGAAAAACACAACAGTGCCATATCACTGCATTTTATGGAATATGTTTTTAAATCATTTTGAAAGCTTGGATAACTTTTGCATGTGGTGGTTAATACGATGATCACATACATATATAGTTTTGGGTGTAAAATTATTTCAGTGGGAAATTATATCATCTATTTTTACCAACAAGACTAAAGCAACTGAAAATTGTGCCAAGTGATGACTATTATACAAAAGCATTTGCATACATGTACTGAAACATCTGGAAATTTGTGAGAAACAATGAGAAATGATGTTGTGCTGTGCAGAGTGACATTATGGTGTGGGGATTGTTGTTTTGCAAATGTTAGTTATCAGTTGAGAAAAACTGTCAAGGAAAAACTGTAATATACATTAGTAACAAACATTAAAGGATTATAAGATTATAATGTTTGTTATTAATGTGTATTACAGCTGTAATGTTGTTCACTGAACATATTATGAATGCAGTGTTTTAATTAAGAGATGTTGAGGTATACTTACATGGTACTTATGAATGTTCCATGAATGCATAATGATTGCATTTTGAAGGTGCAGTTAATGTAAAGCACTAACCAGTATTTTGTATAACGATTCAATGGTTGCTTTTATTTTTATATTTTTATTGAGAGGTAGAGGTAGCAGAATAGTATAGGAGTGGTTTCATCATGCAAGTCTGGTTTGGGGTTTCCAGGCTGTACAGGAAGAGATCAACATCCCTGGTAGCTACATGAAGCTGAACTACCTGAGCACACGTTCCCCAGGATACAAGTCGCTCCTGCGTGTCCTTCTCACTCAATCTGTCATCCCTACCGGCCTGGTTAAAGTACATCTGACGGCAGCTGTTGAGGGGCGTGTCTTCCAGAAGTGGTTTCCAGCCGCTCCCAGCTTGGTCTATGTCCTGGCCTGGAATAAGACTGACATTTATGGGCAGAAGGTCTATGGCTTGGCTGAAGTAATAGGTACGTTTTTTTTTAAATATGTAGCGTTAAACAACAAATACATGTGCTACTAAAGAATGACTGCACAATCACAGAATGCACAGTTTGTTTGGTGGCTATTCATATAGTTGAAGACCCCTCAAAAGAATCATCACTTCTGCAGTGACTACCAGCTTTAAAAGATCGCTTTGCAGTATTCTGTTGTCTATTTTATGTCATTCTCATACCATACTTGCTTCAGAGAATTCCAAATTCAGTCCATCTTTTTCTGTGCTGTGCATGATGCATGCATTCAGGCTTTAGCAGATAACTTAATGTGCATTGCCGTCATACACTGACAGTGTAATACAGATAATATAATTTGTTTCACTGAGCCAAAGCACACTTGCTTTTCCTATACTCCACAAATCCATGAAAATGTCAATCATAGTAAATAGTGCCAGATTATCTATTGCACAGTGTAGCAGTTATCAGGATATTAATGTGTTCCCTTTAGTTCATAAAGTGTCTTCCAGGTATCTTCCCCCCATAGTTCTTCCAGGTACTAGCAATAAATAATTATCTATTCGTACTGGTGTATGTATAACTGGCTCCAGCAATTCTGATTAATGCTGCAGACCTTACATGTACAAAACATTATAGAAGCATATGCTTGAAATAGAGTGACCAGACGACTCAAAATAAAACCTATGAGTTTGTCCGTTGCATCTGCTTCAATAAGCATACAGTAGATTGTCAAAGAAAACTCTTCACTCTATTCAGAATTGCAAGCAATGGGGATTTTAACAGTGTAAGACGGACTGTGCCCCAACTATCATTGAGTGAGACCTTCACAATGGTCTTCCTGTACTCCATGCATCCTTCATAGCTTGTCAAATCAGCCATATGTGGTTTAGGCCAGGACAGAAAATCAACAGAAATAGATTGCCCGAAAAGTACCCCCCCCCCCCCCACACACATACACACACAGTGATTTCCCCCCACAGTCCCGTGTCCCGTGGTATAATTTCTTTAGCGAAACAACAAGTTCCTGAGAGGCTCAGTATATGACATGAACCAAGTCTGTCCAGGTACAGTGTTTTAAGTTGTAACCTTTCAAGGTTTGACAAGACTGAGACATAGATTTGAGGGAGAATAGACCAAAAAATCCTGCAAAATGCCTTCAATCTTGTATATTTGGGGGCAGCGTGTGGCTCAGTGGGCTAAGCCGTGTGCCTGTAATCGCCGGTTCAAGCCCAGCCTCAGCACGTCTGCAGGTCCTTGAGCAAGACCCTCAACCCCCAGCTCCCTGGGCGCCACTACAGGTGGCTGCCCTTCACAGAGGCATAAAAACAATTTCCCCATGGGGATCAATAAAGTATCAATTATTATTATTATTATATAGGGCAATCTATAGTTACTCATGTGAAAGTTCAGTATAACACAAGTGCAGAGAGACCCATAAAATACAATAATCATCACAACCTACTACAACTGGGATATGGCACTACTACTTTTTACATTTAAAAAAACAAGAAATTGTAGTTGTAATTAATGATTTTCTGAATAGAAAATGCCTTTATTTTTCATATGGGCAGCAAATATGTTTTTTCATATCCCATCTCGCTCTTCCATGACAGGCACAGACACTTATATTCATGTATTTCGTTTAAGTTCGTGGCCCAGTCACAATACATTTGAATATCTGTGGAATATTCAATATAACAACAAAGAGATCCACTGCCATTCAATGCAGCATTGCTGTGGCAAGCACTGGAGACAGCATCAACGAACATCCCTTTTTTGACCAAAATGTCCTACTAGAGAATTTTGTGAGTTTATAAATGTGGATATTTGGAGTGTGAATATTGTTTTTCTCACATACACTATTCTTGATATATGCTTTTGTTGCGTAACAGTTTAATGTATGCAGGGTAGTAAGTCTGTATCCAGATGGGAGCTCTTCCACAGGCAAGTAATGATACCAGTGATTCCTGGAAAAGACCTCCAAGGTCTGACAGTATAAAAACTCCTCTGTTCCCATGTCCTCTCATAGGCTATGCAAATCTCTAATGAGCTATGCGGTGTTTTAATACAGTACACAGATGTTTTGTTACATATGCTATTTGAAGGTGAGTTTAAGGTGACTATAATGATTCATCCATTTTCTATACTCACTTGTCCTATGCAGGATCACAGAAACCTGGAGCCAATCCATAAGCTAAAGACGTAAGACAGGGAATAAAGCAGGCAGGGCGCCAACCTATTCTCACACGCAGGCAATTTGTCAACTACAATACACCTTTTTGAACTGAGGGGGGGGGGTATCCAGAACACACAAACTCCACGTATGCAGAGCTGGCCAGACACTTGAACCCAGGATTCCAGAGATGTGAGGCAGCTGTGTAGCCACTGCACCACCATGCCACCCAGCTGTAATGATAATTTACATGAACATTTTTATATTTTGAAGACAAAATAATGCATTTTGCAATACTTCCTGTTAGTGTATGTTTTAGGTCATAGTGTTATGTATGTTTATCGGATGAGAACTTTTGCCATTGCTTGGTAGTATGAGTTTATTCTGAGGTACTTTTTGGTGGTTTTGGTGCATTTTGGAGCTGAGATTAACTGTTGGGCTAAGCCGCATATTGGTGATATTGGTGGAACTGTGTGAAGAGTTTTGAAAAAGTGACTTTAGTATGAAAAAATGCTTGTTTGCAATTGTATAAAACTACAATTGTCTGGCACTGGAAGCATTATTCACGAAGAAAGGCTCAATAAAGTACAGAAAGAATGGGCTTCCCTCCTAGTGATATAACACCATTATCAGAGTGCTGGAACGCAAAAAAGAAGCAATCAAGTATGACATGAAGAGGTTGCACTTTGCTTATATGCAACGTCTCTATGGAGACATTGAATAAAATCGTATTAAGGAAAGTGCGGCCTCTTCTTGTCATACATTAAGAAAGGCTGCAACACTCAAATTAGTTTATGAATTACTTGTTAAACTGAAATCAAATGATGATTGTGTTTTTCTTTCAGTGACTGTCGGCTATGAGTACGAGTCGTGTCCTGATTTCGTTGTCACGGAAAAGAGGACGACATTGGTGCAAGGCTTTGAGATGGTTCCTTCCAACTTAGGTGGCTGGTCACTGGATAAGCATCACACTCTCAACTTGCAAAGCGGTATGGATTCAAACTCTTTCCTTTTGCTGCATACACTGCGGGCACCTAGCCGTGTACAAAAATTATGGGTTTGAACCCCCCAAAATTTGTTTACCACCGACCAGGCATGCAGGCAGTCACATAAATTATTAGTTTGAACCCCCCCTCTAAAAATGCTTCCGTCCCCCAGCTGGCAACATTCACCAATGGGAACCCCCCCCCCCAATTTGGCATATTCTACCAAGGGGGACATCCCCCCAAAATGTATTTCTAGCTACAGGCCTTATATACTCTAATGGATTCATGTATCTGTTATAGCAAAATTTTCTGAAAAAAGTGACCCAAGCCAGTGTTCAAGCAGTGAACAAGGGCTATAAATGATTTATATGACAGCAATAGTGTATATCTGTGGAGTCCCACTCATGACATAGCAATGAAAAATACATATATTGTGGCCATGTTTTACTAAATCGTCCCCACAATATATTTAAATGAGGCCAATATACTGTATATAATTTTTACTATCATTCCCACAATATATTAAAACATGGGTACAATATATATAATTATTATGGTTATGTCATGAGCTGGCCTCCATTCAGGTCTTTACTTTTCAGCAGGGTAGTAAACAGATTACTCTTGTAAAGACCTTGATTAGTGAAGACTCCCAATGTGCTAGCATGTGCAGAGGAAGCACCATAGTGTACAGTTGGAGCAAATGGAATTTGCGGTGTTGGGGTTTAACAAACATTTTTGTGTTGAGATTGATTTACAAAAAGTAATGTTTCGGGATTTATGGGAGATTTAATACTTAATGCATATGATATTTACCAAGTGTGGTAACAAAGTTACCATATTTGAGAAAAAGCTTTAGAAAGATGTACGTTACTTAAAATAAGGAAAAGGCAGAACTACACACTCAGAGGCCACTTTACGGTTTTTCTCAATTGCTTTGGCGCATTCGTGAAACACACCTGGGGCTGTGATTGGCTCAGTGGGCTATGACTGCCTGTGATGGGAAGGTGGCCGGTTTAAGCCCTGGCAGAATAGTCACATGCTCCTGGGCGCCACACATTCACTGAGCCTGCGCTCTGACCCCCAAGCTATGGAGAGCAAGACAGAGCTGGCAAACAGTATAGTTCTAATGTACCTGTACTTGTTCAAATGGCAAATAAAATATTATTACATACATGACTTTCTTATTACTTTATGTGTATATCTCAGAAGAGTTTATATACAGCACAACACTATGGTTAGGCAGCAAATGGCCATAGCGCACCAATAATATTAACTCACATCTCAAAAGAAAATAATTCTCTCAGTGAACACATTTGCAATTTGTGGGAAACAATGAGTCACGATGTTCTGCTGTGCATAAGTGATGTCATGGTGTGGGGATTACACTCATTGTTTTTCAAATGTCAGTTATCATTTGAGACATGTGCCAAAGCAATTGAGAATAAAATGTATTAGGTACACCTAACTAGTACTGGGTAAGCCCTTCTTTTAACCTTCAGAACTTCAGAAGGGTGGATTAGTGGTGCATTCTGAGAACCCATTTTGTACATTTTTCCCCAAGCTGTTCATTTTGCACTGTTAGCATTTTCTGACCACCATTGTTAACAAGGTGTTTTCACTCGCAAAGCTTCTGTTGTCTGGGTGTTTCTCTGTGAACTCTTGACAGTGTGGTGGATGAAAATCTCGGGAGAGTGACTGTTTCTGATATGCTGGAACCACCATATCACGAGCCAGCACTCACAACATATTCATAACCACTTGGATCATGTGTTTTTTAGCTTTTGTAATGTTCAGCCAACCAGTGAGTGATTCATTTGGCCTGCATGCTGTATGTATTCAGCTGCAGCCACATTGTTTGTTGGGTGAGGAGCACGTTCTTTGTACTGTACTATTAAGCAGCTGTGTGCAATAAACAGGCCACTGAGTTAAAATGTTTTTTTGGAAAAAGGAATCCTCCATGACAGAACAATTTCTGGACCTGTCAAAGCTATTTGTGGATGTTCCAATTTATATAGACAATTAGAAATTCACACACCAGTGCTGTAAACATTGTTGTGCAATAGCCTTCACATGAACTCCCTTTTTGCCCTTATAAATACCACCTTTATAGTGGCATCTTTCTTGTTCTCTTTTTATGACACAGGTATTTTGCATAAAGGAAATGGGGAGAATATCTTCATATCTCAGCAGCCTCCGGTCATCAGCACAATTATGGGGAATGGGCAAGTGCGGGCCATCTCCTGTGCCAGCTGCAATGGGCCACCATTGAACAACAAACTCTTTGCCCCAGTTGCCATTGCTTGTGGTGCTGATGGAAGCATTTATGTTGGAGACTTCAACTTTGTAAGGCGGATTCTCCCAAATGGATATGCTCTTAGCATTTTAGAACTCAGGTACTGTTTACTATACATGTGATTATTTGATACACCTTTACTTATTATATGTGTGCGCATAAATACACACACACATACACACACACACAGTATTGTGGTACAAAAGTCTTAGTCAAAGAAAATGTTTAAGGCTGAGTAGTAAATATATATCATCTGAACATTAGGACATATGCAAACACAATGAAAACTAAACAAACATTTCTTCTGATCTCTAAAAAGTTGATGCCTTGTTGGATGGCGAGGTAAACACTACTTTGGTTCCCAAAACTCTCCTTAGTGGCGCCTCAGCAATACCATGGATTTATTAAATTTCACAACCAGCTCAATTAGTTAATTGATTGATTAGTTAGTTAATTGGTTAGTTAGTTAAAACCCTTTATGAGGTATTGATTAGCTAAACACAGTGTGCTACTGGTCGAGTCAAAATACCGTGGTGTATTGGACGGTAGCTGTAAATACTGGGGTAGCTTTACTTGGGGTGACTTTAGTCGTGGCCAAAAGTTTTGAGAATGACACAAGTATTGGTTTTAACAAAGTTTGCTGCTTTAGTGTTTGTAGATTTTTTTTGTCAGATGTTTCTATGGTATGCTGAAGTATAATTATATGTTATAATTATAAGTATAATTTATGCAAAGAGTCAGTGTTGGCCCTTCTTTTTCAAGACCTCTGCAATTCGCCCTGTCATGCTGTCAATCAACTTCTGGGCTAAATCCTGACTGATGTCAGTCCATTCTTGCATAATCAATGCTTGGAATTTGTCAGAATTAGTGGGGTTTTATTTGTCCATCCACCACTTGAGGATTGACCGCAAGTTCTCAGTGGAATTACAGTGTGGAGAGTTTGCTGGCCATGGACCCAAAATGTCGCTGTTTTGATCCCCGAGCCACTTAGTTATCACTTTTGCCTTATGGCACAGTGCTCCATCATGCTGGAAAAGGCATTGTTCATCCCCAAACTGTTCTTGGATGGTTGGGAGAAGTTGCTCTCAGGGGATGTTTTGGTACCATTCTTTATTCATGGCTGTGTTCTTAGGCAAAATTGTGAGTGAGCCCACTCCCTTGGCTGAGAAGCAAACCCACACATGAATGGTCTCAGGATGCTTTACTGTTGGCATGACACAGGACTGATGGTAGCGCTCATCTTTTCTTCTGCGGACAACCTTTTCTCCGGATGCCCCAAACAATCAGAAAGGGAAAGAGAAAATGACTTTACTCCAGTCCTCAGCAGTCCAATCCCTGTACCTTTTGCAGATCATCAGTCTGTCCCTGATGTTTTTCTTGGAGAGAAGTGGCTTCTTTGCTGCCCATCTTGACACCAGGCCATCCTCCAAAGGTCTTCACCTCACTATGTGTGCAGATACACTCTCACCTACCTGCTGCCATTCCTGAGCAAGCTCTGCACTGGTGGTGCCCCGATCCAGCAGCTGAACCAACTTTAGGAGATGATCCTGGTGCATGCTGCACTTGCTTGGGTGCCCTGAAGCCTTCTTCACAACAATTGAACCTCTCTTCTTGAAGTTCTTGATGATCTGATAAATGGTTGATTTAGGTGCAATCTTACTAGCAGCAATATCCTTGCCTGTGAAGCATTTTCTGTGCAAAGCAGTGATGACTGCTTGCGTTTCCTTGCAGGTAACCATGGTTAACAGAGGAAGAACAATGATTTCAAGCACCACCCTCCTTGTAAAGCATCCAGTCTGCTATTCTAACTCAATCAGCATGACAGTGTGATCTCCAGCCTTGTCCTCATCAACACTCTCACCTGTGTTAACGAGAGAATCACTGAAATTATGTCAGCAGGTCCTTTTGTGGCAGGGCTGAAATGCAGTGGAAATGGGTTTTTTGGGATTAAGTTCATTTTCATGGCAAAGAGGGACTTTGCAATTAATTGCAATTCATCTGATCACTCTTCATAACATTCTGGAGTAAATGCAAATTGCCGTCATAAAAACTGAGGCAGCAGATTTTGTAAAAATGTATATTTGTGTCATTGTCAAAACCCTTGGCCACAGCTGTAGGAGAGATTTTGAAATGCTTAAGCTGATGCACTTTGACAGACATACAAACACTTAGTTCCACACACACATAGTTCCACACAACCATAGTTCTAGACCTACATGAAGATCATTTTAAGTAAAACTAATGATTTGTTCTTTCTTCCTTCCTTACCTGGCATTCTGGTAGAAACCGAGATGTAAGGCACAGGTATGTTGGTAATCTTTTTTTTTATTATTATTTAATTCGTGCTACACAATTTCTGTCACTTTTAAGATTTTGGTTAAATATTCTCAAACAGACTCCTGCAATGAAATGGTAATTTTTCTAATTTTTTTACACAACAGCAAAGTAAAAATTAAAGTATTCATTATTCATTATTAACAGTTAAAATTCACTTCTGATCATGCACATTTACTGTGTACTGTGTTATTACTGTGCTTTAGACTACTTTATCCTCATTCAAAAATATTGCGTAGAATCATTTTAAATCATTTGTATTATGTAGGTTATTTTAAAAATACTTAAAATAAAACCTAGAAAGTCAGATTATGTAACAAATAAAATTAATACCATATTTTAGAGACTTTAATACAGTATCTGTTCTGAAATTAACTGCAATATTAGCCAATATCTGGTCAGAAAACAAATATGATTCTCTGAGCTTAATAGCACAAAAATTAATCGATATATACCAGACAGACAGTCTGGACTGAATGTATTCTTGTTGGTGACTGTAAGTGGATTTCTCGGGCTCGTATTTTCTGAAAAGTAGACGAGGCCTTAGCTTAACTGCCAGGCAGCAGTTAGCCAGAAAGTCAAGAATCCAGCTGCAAAGGGGCTGTTTGAGACCCTGATCAGGTAACAACAACCTAGCCAGTGATTTAAAACACATACAAAGTATGTTGAAAGCTGAGCTATAGTCGATGAATAGCATTCATGTCGTTCAAAATATGTTGTCTGGTGTTTGAGGTGAGTTAGGGCAATATGAAGGGTAGGGGAGATGGATTTCTTTGTGGATCTGTTTGCCTTGTAGGCTTATTGGTTTTAGTCCATAGAGACTGGGATGATGGATTTGCATTAGGAGCAGTCTCTCAAAGCATTTCATGGTGATGGGGTGATGGCAAGTGAGCAAACATGATTCAGATTACTGACAGATGTATATTTTGTCAGTTGTATGATGATGCTTGACTTGAAAGGGCCGGTACAAAGTCAGATATGTAAGGGCTAATACACGTCAAGCCGTGAGTTATACATTTTCCACATGGTTGTGGAGGCAAAGAACCACGTGCCGTGGAACAGAGGGCGGTCGGCTAAGTGCATTAACCCGCTTATACCGCAGTTGTCACACATTTAGCTAACATTTGTGAAAACAGTATTTTTATGTTTATGGACCAAATATACATTTATTAGTAGATTACTATTTAGCCTTAGGCAGTATTATGGTGACACAGAATATCGCCAAATTACCTTTGGCAAAATTGTATGTTGAGCGACCAAAATTTTATGTCCAAGATTTCAAAATACCAGAATCTTTACTATATCTGGAATATATTCCGTTGCTAAGGCTTTATGTATGGGGCTATTATTGTAGCGAAATTATTTGCAAATGTGTATGGAGAGTTGCGTGACTGTATATCAGTCCGTATGTGTGTAATCAAATTTGTAATTGTGTAAAAGAATTTGTAAATGTGTATTCAGAATACATGCTCGTAATCAGATTTGTAAACCTGCAAAAGAATCTCTAAATGTGTAATGAGATTTGCAAGGGTATTGAAATTTGTTCGTGTGTAGACAAATCTGTAAATGCCTGCATAGATTTATGAATGCATAGACAAATCTGTAAATGTGTATATAGGAATTAATTGCTAAAAAGTATTTTGCTCCAAGAACTGTAAATACAGACAAGTCATCAGTTACAACTCAGGCGGATCTCTCAATTGGCTGTCTTTCTGCACATGATTTTTGCTACACTTCTGTTGTGGCAGTTCTGCAAATGCATGTGAAGATTTGTCTGTACCGACCAGGTTTTGAGGGCTTAGGGCTTAACGCTGTCCCGCTGGCAAGCTTTAGGGGGCTTAAGTGAGGAACAGTGTCAGAGTATAAACCATGAGACAGTATGCATTTACAAATTCTTTTAAAAATATACAAATCTGATTACATACATACAGACAATCACACAAGTCTCCATACACATTTGCAAATAATTTTGCTACAGTAATAGCCCCATATTTATGCCAGTCTTAGCTTGTAAATCCAAAGACTGGTTTCTATGTACAAATGTGTAAGTCAAATGTGAAGTCACTGTAGCATATGTGGGGAAATGCACTCCGACACGTGCATTATAAGTCTTTGAAAGCACAGCTGTGGAGGCAAAGAAATGTAAATGTGGATATTCATTCATTGTTTCATTTATTTAGCTTTATGTGCCTCCTGATATTCAGCTGCATTATGGGTAAAACCCAACTTATTTACCGATAAAATCTAGACTTCATACCATCTCATTTAAGCAGGTGAAACACTAAAGTATGACTATATTACAAGTGCCTCACATCAGTAAATAAGTTTGGTATTTAATCACTGACCACAGGTCCTGGTCCTCAGCCTGAAGCAGTGTTGTCTTCTTGACCTGTAGCAATTTCTTTGCTTTTATAATTTTTGTTACTAACATTTGTTAGAACTAAAGACCATAACTGCATATTGATTTACTTCTGTGATTCGCCTGACTGGCACTACAATACAATACAAGGGCTATTTACAGTTATAAGACAGGGGCTATTTACAATTGCCCGTGGGCATGCGGGAATATGATCATTACACTGCGCTGCACTACCTCCCCCTCAAAGGTCAACTGTCCCCATGACCACCACCCCTTTGTGTCTTATTTTAATCATAAAAAATGTATTCATTTGACAATAGATACAGTTAGCTAGATGGTTAGCTAATTTTCGCCACAATGTTTTCTTTTTGCGTTGATTTAGCCTTATGTAGCAACAACAACCTAGCCAGTGATTTAAAACACATAAAGTAAAATATAGGTCTAGGTGACGAAAGGGCTGTCAGAGTTCCATATATTATCTGCTTTGTTAAAAAAAAAACATGCTAAGGGTAGTCTTAAGCCTTGTATAAAGAGAGAGGATAAAATTAATGGTGTGTGCCTTCATTTTATTTGCCACGGCTGCCCTATTCATATTTCTTTTCTCTTGCATTTGTGTACATTTGACATTGACGTAGTACATTATGAAAAGTAGTCAGATTATGTCACATAAATAATGTGATTCATGGATTAGGTTACTGACTGCATTTTTAACAGGTATATAGTAATTGTACCAGAATACATTTCTAAAGTAACCCTCCCAACCCTACCTATATTTTTAGCCCGTCTGAATTTCCTGGCACAAGTGCTTTAGATGCCACAGGGAGACTAACTTGCAGAGATGATATCTGTCTTGCTGCAGTCATACACGCACACAGACACACACTGATGCCGTCTCAAATGATTAAGCACTTTGAATATGTTTCCAGCAACATATCTGAGTTGGGTATATCAGAGCCGACAGACAGCCTTGGTCTTATCAGCTACTCTCTCTCCAGTTCTGGTGTATAATTTATTGGGAAACCACAATGTTCCCAAACTGTTGATTATGAGTGACTGTAACAAGCATTTGCCATAACCAACTCATACTAGTAATGTGTACTCCCCGATGTCTATGTGTGCCTGATGTGTCGTGCATACTATTCCCAGTTTGTGTGTAACAACGCATTATATAATAATGCAGCATTGTGTAATAATTCGACTGAATGTAACAAATTTTCACCACATAATGCAACGCTATTACATAATGTAAAAACGTGATGTAAAAACACTGCATTATGTAATATATTGACAAAATGTAACAAATTGTCATTAGATAAATTAGGTAAATTATTAGGGGTGCATTTCCAGAAAGCTTTGTGAAGCTAAGTCATTCATTATGTCGTACTTAAAGATCATTTGTTGATTGAAGTAGCTCATAACCTAAATCAATTAACCAATTTTCCAACCCACTTGTTATTTTCTATGCCGCTATTTATTTGAACTTCTGCCTGCTGTTCTGTCACAGAGACACAGAAGTCACCCAAAATGGATCACAAAATCACACTAATGCTTTTTTTTGGACAACGTAATACAGATGATGATGATGATGATGACAATGATGATGACGATGATGATAATAGGTTAATGTTGTAATATAAAATGATAATGTAGGCTATACGTTTATTAAATTTTGTTGATTTATTACATAATGTGGCCAGAATTTGTTACATTAAGTTATTACATAATGTGGCATTATTCCTATTCTCACAAATGGAACTGTGAGAAGGTGCCTTCAAACCAAATCTTTATTGTCCTGATGGATGGTTTGACCTTAATGTTGAATGGCCTGTAAACCAGGGTTAGGAACAAAGAAATTTGACTGGACTGACCCAAGTGGAATCGGCGTATGGCTTTATTTCTATTTTTGATATTTATATAAACTCAAATCAAGTACATTTGCACTTCGAGTTAGACATTTAACATGTTGATTAAATTTTAAGTTGATTAAAATCACAGGCTTTTGTCTAATTGAAGTCTTCAGTTATGACAAATGGAGTGTGCACTTTGTTTGCTAATAACTGCTAGCAGATTATGAAGTACTGCTTTACATTTGCAGGTGGTGGTATATATACAGCTGAAATAATGACAACGAACTCCTGTGGTAAATATAAGGGCATTCATTTTAATGCTGGGATCCAGAGGAATAATGCCTATGATATTTTTCTCTCTGTACCTCTCAGTATGTTCAAATACACAGAGACCTCTATGTATGTTCTTAAAGGAGGTCTTTCGTTCCATCGGCATGGAGGACGACTAGTTTGTTTGTTGTGCACATCTATAAAAATCATGATAAAGCACACAGAAACACTTAACCTTATTTCATCCCTTTTGTTAGTCAACCTGACATTAGTGATGAAAATGTTTGGAAGTAGAAGCTTGTGTGGGAACTCCTCAGTCAGGCTTGTATCCCAGAGCACTTGCCTTATTTGCTTACTCTCCCTGTACTGCATAGCCGACTAGCCAGAATGGTGATCCAAGGGATCCCTGATGGGCTCTGAGGCCTTTAAGAGTCTGTTGATTGCACATGTTTACAGCGTTCTTCAGAGCTGTATAACACATTTGCAAGTCCATCGCACATGTTCAAACTACCCAAGGGAGAAAAAAACAATACATGGATAACATTGTTTTGGGGAAAATAGGGTTGCTTCATCTGGATGCACCACCATCTCTGCGTCATCAGACCGTCGACTAAATGCTTATATTAGGTAAATGAATCCCAAGTTAGCAAATGCAACAAAAATGATGTTCATTTTTTAAAATAATTACAGCAATACACCACCAAATGCACAGTATATATAAAATAAAGTGGACTGTACTGTCATGCGATCCATATTTAGGTATACTGTGGCACAGAATAACTTACAAGGGCGATGGAGTAACATACAAACAAGCAGAAATACTCAACACATACTCAAGTGACAGGGGCCTTTGCTGAGGCGACCCAAAACTGTTGAGTAATCCAGGATTATTAATCATTAACGAAAAGTAATATTCTGTAAACTGAAATAGATACAAAAATAAAAATTTTAATGTACCTGACTGAAAAAACAAATGTCAAATCATTTCCATTACAGTTTATCAATATTATTTATGTCACAGGGGCATGACAGAAGAGACGATCCACAGTGCAGCTTCCTAACAAACATGGAACTTTATTGGAAGAGAACTCAGACATGAAACAAAATAGACCAGGATGGGTCAAAACAAAGGCAGGAAGGCTACACAAGGAGAAACAAAGGATGGAATTACAAGTGAGGGCACACAAGCAGAACAACTCTAACAATTACGGCAAGACTATGCACATTGAACACACGCAGGAACCAAACAAAATGGCTAAACACAAGAACAAACAAGGTAACAAACCAAGGGCAAACACATATACATTGGTGACAAGACTAAACAAGAAACAGGTGCGGGCCATTGACATTTAATCAATCACTAGGGACTAGAAGGAACAAGACACAGGTGCAGTTCATTGACAAATCACACACTAGTGCTGGGACTAACAATACTCAGGTGTGGGTCCTAAACAATCAGGAAAGACTAAAGCGATAAGAAAGGGATGACCAGTGACATCTGCTGGCCAAGCAGGGAAATGCTTACCTGGCAGGGGAGATACTATACCAGGATCACGCAGGTGGTTCACCCAGGGTGAGGCCCAGCTATTGCACTGCGGCTGTGCAGACCCCTGCAAATTCCCCAAATGTGGGAATCTCCACTGCATCATTTCTGGTAGTAAGGGACTGCGTTCTCACTCTCCCCTGATTTTTTTTTTCTTCGAGGGGGCAGCACGTGGCTCAGTGGGCTAAGCCTGTGTGCCTGTGATCTCAAGGTCACCGGTTCAAACCATGTGTAGGTCCCTGAGCAAGGTCCTTAATCCCCAGCTCCACAGGTGCTGCAACAGGTGGCTGCCCTTCACAGCCAGTTTACTCTTACCTACAAAGAGCAAGTTGGGGGAGGTATAAAGAGAATTTCCCCACAGGGATCAATAAAGTATCAATTAAATGGCAGGTTAGGCTTGATTCTGACAATTTAGTTAAAAGTAATAATTAGTTTATTTTTAATTACCATTAATTATACCTGGAACTTGTTTGAGGTATTAGATGAATTAGTTATTAGGTATTAGTTATTTTTCTTATATTGCTGATACTGATTACCTCCAAGCTACTTCCAAGGGGGGGTTGCTGGCAGTGTAGGTCAGACTCAATCATTAATAAATTAAAAACATCGTGCGCCATATAAAACCCTATTGCCGGTACATAAGTAGAGTTGCCAACCATCCCATATTACCGGATCATTCTGTATTGTAAATTAAAATAGTATTCTGTTTTGAACCAATATAGGATGCGATTTCTCTTCTGTTTTCAGAGGACTGTGATTAATTGTTCCCTGCTCAGCCATTTTATGGTCTGGGACCTGCTGGGGGATGGTGAATGAGCTGACGAAATCCTTCATCCTCCACTATGGAAAATGGTTGATTGTCTAATGTGGTGATCTCCATTATTTTTTAATTATGTCTTTAGCTCTGGTGTTAATAACCTTTAATATTTACAAAATTTAAATTCTGGCTTGGCAATATCAGCCAAAATTAGCACATCGGACCAATGATGGTGGTGGACTTGAAGCACTTGGGGACAGTCACCTGACTCAGGGAAATTTTGAAGATGTCTGTGATGGGCACTCATGGCCAGCCATCCAGGTTGTGAGGTTTCAAAATATCCACACATGTGTCTGTGTCTGTATGTGAGCAAGATGGGGTGAAATGAAAAGAGAATTTCCCCAATGGGATTAATAAAGTATCATTATACTATACTATACTATACTATACTATACTATAATCTCTCAATGTCCAGTATAATTTATAAGTTATTTAACTCATAAACACTGACTTTAGCTGAGGAAAGAAAAGCTGCAGCAACCTGAAACGTGTTTTGATCTTTGGCATGATCGGGACTCCTAGGTAAATTCAGCACTTTTCCTCTTTTACTGATTAATGGTCTGACCAGAGTTAATTTAAGATTTAGAGCTTTAAAAATGCACATAAACAAAATGGGATTTTGATTGTTTAAGTATTCAGTCAACGTATCCTAATTATCCCCGTAATTGAATTTGTTAATTTGGGGAACAATTGCATTTTCATGCAATTTTGTCTTGCACTCATTGAGGCAACAAGCTAGCAGGAATCCACTATGCACAAGCAGCTCAGGGTTGGGGGAAAGTCAGGGACAAAGTAAGGTGTGAGCAAGTTGCTTGAGTTCTGTGCCCACAATAGTAGATAGCAGTGAAGATAACTCCCCTAAGGGGACTGCTGCCACCCACCAAATTTAATTTAACTATATGGCCATTTTCTACTGTAATATATTTGTTATTAGGGCATCTAAACACCTATCAAACACCCATTTGACCATGTGCAAAACCCGTCTTCACAATTTACAATAACCCTTCTTCAAAAACAGAAAGTACATAATACAGTAAAATTGCTGAAACAACACAAAAGGGACATAGTGTGGCATTTAGGACTAAACATGTCTTTCCGCCTGTTTACTAGATACAATTTACATATCTTGGTTTAGTTTCAGGAGGATATTTCTCTCCAAGATGACCCTTGCACGTGTGTGTGTGTGTATTCCTGAACACTAAGAACAGTTACTCAACAAATTGAACTTGTTACACCTTTTTATATTCCTCCCTCGGGTTTCACCTCAGCCCGTGTCTTGCGCTCTCATTGGCTGGGGCTCATTGCTGCACTCATTGCCAGTTGCAGCACCTTTCACATCTACAGGATTTGGTGTCGCCGTCAGGTCCAGATATTAAGCTTGCTAGATATCTGACAGGCATCTGTGAAGCATTGGCGACTCTGTCAGGTCGCGTTGTAAACAGTTCACACATAGCAATTGACGGCTGATTTGTCAGTGCTGATCTGGGGTCAGACATGCACCTAGCGGGAAAAACAAATCATCCAATGAGAAAGATGCAAGGGGACAGTGAGAATTGATGCTTGCACTTGAAGAACAAAACGTCAGAGCATAACAAACAGAAATTTTGTCGTAATTTTCATTGTCGATCATTTTTTCATTTACGTTGTCATTATGATTCAGACATGAAATAAAAGGTCATCATCGAATACTTATCATCAAAATTTACAGTTAGGAAATGAACACTGCCCTCTGCTCTCCTGCATGGTTCCCATGGAAGGCGTCCTACCACTCGCCCATGTGGCTAGGGACTTCAGGGCTGCCTCTGCTGCTATGCTGCACATTGTGGGGTCTGCAGGGCAGCAGCTTCAAGCCCCATCATGTGTCCCTGCAATGCTGGTTTGGGGAATTATGGCCAAAGTGACAAGGCTGCACAGGGCAACCACCCATCACCCAATGGCAGCTATTGCACCTGATTCATGTTGGGGAGGTTGACGGGGAATGTTAATAAACTGTACTCCGACCTCTTCTGGAAGGAGACATGAGTGGGTCCTTTTCCTGAATGAGCGATGAAAGTCTGAAACACTGCTGGAGGTAATGGACAAGTCGTGGTGGTCTAGCTGGAGCAGAAGATGCCCAGATGTCTCCCAGACAGCTACTTCCTGGTCCATGGTGGCATCTCTAATACTCAGTCCCTTATGGAGGGACTTGTCCGTGGTACCCCAGAGGCAGGTGGATGCCAGACCATAGTCTGGCACCTACTGTAGGGGTCTTTAGCACTGAAGAATACGTTTGGCACTGCTTTTATTGGTTGGGGATGAGTCCCACCATCAAGAACTTTTGCCTGCAGTGCCCCATCCACCACCACCCAGCCCCTTGGTGCAACTTCTCATCACTGAGGTGTTCTTCTAGCACATTATCCTTGGTCAGGGTCCCTCCCACCCAGTACGTGAAACCAAGACTATATCCTCGTTATTGTGGATTATGCTACCAGGTACCCCCAGGCTATGCCACTCCCAAGGTCCATTTCACAGAACTTGACCTGGGAGCTGCTCCAACTGTTCAGCCTCATGAGCATCCCCGAAGACATCACCATTGGCCAGGTAATGGCATTCATCTCCTGGCTGATGGAGGAGATCTGCAGGCTTCTCAAAATCCACCTCCTCTACAAGTCAGTGTTCCACCCACAGACAGAGGCCTCGTTGAGCTATTTATCTTATGCTTTCACTGCCTTCGGTAATAGACACCTGGAGGACAACCACCCTGGATGGATTCAATGAATACTGTAGGTATATTTTTCTTCATTGATCAAGGCATCCACAGCATGATGTATAACTTGACTGGACATGCACATAACAGAACAAAATATTAAAGCAAACCAATAATTATGATTTTTTTTCCTCTCAAATCTAAACACCAGTAAATATTTATGCGCATTTATATATTTTAAAATCAACAACAGAGCATTATGCAATGGTTCCCCTGCACTTTTGCAGTACAATTATACGTAATTTTTTAATATTATATAACCAAGCAGCATTCTCACCAGTTATCTGAGGATACGGAACTGGCTGAGCTTGGTGTAGGGCATTCTGTGGCTCACCTGGCTAGACACTTCAAAGGACAGTTTCTTCGTGGAAGCTTAGAAAGGTCTACCTCAGTCAGTCCTCCTATAAAGGTCATTACTTACTTGTCAGCTGAGAACACCCACCAGGGAAACAATTATACCACCGTGCAACAGATTCCTTTTGGATAAGAGTGTGGTTCCTGTCTAAATCCTGTTCCTGTATACAAGATGTTTCCATTCTGAATTGGTCCATTATGTGGTCTCCCTTAGTCAGACTGCAGTTAACTCAGGATGGTCCTGGCCAAAAGGGTTCAGTGGTACCTTTTGTATCTAATGATATGAATCTGACTCTTTGCTGCATATCTAGGGAGGTATATATACAGAAGGGATCCTGGTTCCAGCACGCTGAGCTGCATCACTGGACTTGGTATTCCTGTACTGGTGGTATGGCAGTGGAGATTGATCACATCCTTGTGAACAAATGCTAGAGGCTTATACAGAACTTCAGAATCTAGAGAAGTGTCCAGTTTGTGAATTCTAACCACAGACTTCTTATTGCTGCTCTGAAGATTCAGCCAGAAGGCTCCCACTTACTTGGAGAATGAGGCTGGACCTGGCCAGACTCCAAGATCAAGCTGTTTCTGATGAGTTTGCACACAGTTTGTGTGAGGAACATACAGACTTGGGTGCAACTGCTGATCCTAATGTGATGTGAAAAGACCCTGATGGTTGCTGAGGGTTGTGTTAGTGTATGCTGGCATGTTGTGTGCCGGTGTATCCAGAAGGAGGTGCATCATTTTGCAGATCACCCTGGATATTATCAAGTGAAGTCACAGTGCACAGCTTGATGGTAACTCTGGTCTGCACCAGGAACTGAGAAGGATGGTTACGAGGGATTTGAGGTATCCGGGGTGAACTTCTCCAGCCTGGTGGTAAGGCTGTCCTCCTGGCATTTGCAAGCAATCTTTGCTTCTATTTGGGAGACAGGCATCCTCCCAACTGACTGGAAAATGGGACTGGTTGTCCCTATCTGGAGAGGGAAGGGTGATTGCCTGGATATTAGTAACCACAGGGGAATAGCACTGCTCTCAGTGCTAGGTAAGGTCCTTGCTAGAGTCATCCTCACCAGGACCTGTGATCACTTGCTAACCTACCAGCGACTGGAGAAGTCTGGTTTTACACCTAAGAGGTCTAACATCGACCACATCCTAGTAGTGAATGTTCTCATTGAGCGCAGATACAAATATCGGCAGGGTGACTGCAGAAAGAATGTTGACCTCATTGAGAGATTTGCTTACCTCAACAGCCACATTCATGTCTCTGGTGAGTCAGTAGAAGGATTGGGGGAGCATGGGGGGGTCATGAGGTCGCTGGAAAGGGGTGTGTGATGCACCCAATATCTTTGTAGGAGGATGAAGGTCCAGGTCCTTAGAGTCCTGGTGCTTCCTGTCTTGTTGTATGGCTGTGAGACATGGACACTATCCAGTAACCTGAGATGAAGACTGGACTCCTTTACTGATACTGTGTTTCTTCGTCAGAATCTTTGGGTACCACTGGTTTGACTTTGTGTCGAACGACCGGTTGCTAGAGGAGTCACATTACACATCACATAATGAGGCACATTACCTGCATTGTGAGGGACCATCAGTTACAGCACTACGGCCATGTGGCGAGATTCCCTGAGGGTGATTCGGCTCGCAGGATCCTTATTGCCGAGGACCCATTGCGGCTGGACCAGGCCAAGGGGACGCCCACGTAACACCTGGCCGCAGCAGATGAATGGGCTTTCCTGGGGGGTGGGACTGAATCATGCTGGCCTGGAGGAGTCTTCAACTGGGATCCCGAGGTGTTTCGCCGGGTGGTGGGCATGGCTACCTGACCTGACCTGATACTGTCACACATTATAGTGTGTGTGTGTGTGTGGGGGTTTCCTATACCATATATTTTGTTGAAAGCAATGTTTGTCGCCAGGATTTGGGTATGTCCAAAATACTGATGTATACCCCAAATCCCCAAATACTGCAGAGGAATATATTTTTAAACTGCACCTGTTATCGAGTTGTCACTGGCAGTAACACATCCTGGTGTTGCCTTAGGCATTAGCATTAGCATTAGCATAGCCGTTACATTGTGTTAACACTTTTGTATTATAAATTATGTTATAGGCAGCTACTCCAACGTGCCAGCATTATTGGTATTCATACCATCTGAGTCAGGATACTGTTTTGATTGATGTCGGATATTATTAAATATGACAACTGTAAAATATATTTCTAATATCTACCTTATCCTGTATACTTCCTGGGAAAGCGGCCAGGACCTCCAAATCCCCTTATGTCAAATTAACAGCCTTTTTAGACCCTGGGGTTTACATGTGGTGTTCTGGGGCAAATGAGACAGCTGGCATGTCATTTTTTAGCATTTTGGCAGGCCTTCTAATTGTGTCAAATTGCTCTTGAAGAATGGTATTGTTGTCCAACGCAAACAGAAGTCTAAAATGAAAAAAAATTTAATAATCTGTCTCTAGTTATCTTTCCCCGTCAAAGATATTTGATTTTTTAAGCAACAAGGGACATAAAGACCAGGTGAACTGCTGTCTTTGCTCAGATACCAGTCTGTTTGTTTTCTGGAAATCAGTGAACAGAGAGGTTTGCCAGGCAGTTTTGCAGTCGACACCTTTTTATAATGCTAGACAGCCCAAGGTCACTGGAGATTAGAGACTAATCCTCTTAGGACCTGTAACGTGATCAGTCGACCCACATACTGTTTTCTGCAGGCAGTTAAAATAGTGTATATATATAGTGTAAATAGTGTGTATATAATGTAAATAAGAAACAGATGAGGCAGCTTTACATGCCAGTTACAGTCTGCACCTGGTACCTGATTAATTTAAGGTTATGAAACAGACTGTAACTCAACCTGAATATTAGCCTAAAAATGATATGGCTTATTTTTAAATGGTCATTACTTATCTGAAATTCTCTGACAGAATAACAATTTACGTAGTATAAGCTTTGGATGGCATGTAATTTTACTGTCTAATGTGGACCTTTTAGTTTACTGAAGAAACTACAAAATAAATAAATACAATAATCATTAATAATATCAAAACTATTCCTCCTTCAAGTGATTCTTAATTCTCACACTTTTAAATGTTCTATAAGAATGTTCTTAATGGATCAAGTGAAAGGTTCATACTGTACACATTGTACATCTCAATATTATTCCTCAAGACATTCAGGTTCATTATGCATTCTATTTTCAGAATCAGAAAAACTTTATTTTGATACAATACAATTTTGATACAATAATAATGTGAAATAATGTCTACATTGACCCACACATTTTCTTGTTTTTTTTCCCAGCACTAGCCCTGCCCACAAGTACTATCTGGCTATGGATCCACTAAGGGAGACCCTGTATCTGTCAGATACCAGCAGCAGAAAGGTCTACAGGCTGAAAACCCTCACTGAACCCAAGGATCTCTCCAGAAATGTAGAGGTTGTGGCAGGAACTGGGGAACAGTGCACTCCTTATGTTCACAGTTACTGTGGAGATGGAGGAAAGGGTTCAGAAGCTTCACTCACAAACCCCAGAGGTAAAAAAAGATACTGTCTTGCTGCAATTTATTGTGATTCTTACCATTTTCTTTTATTTCTCTGACTTGTTGCCATGAAGTATAGAAAACATTAACCAAAGGCCGATTGATGACTTAAGTACAGTGCCCTCCATAATGTTTGGGACAAAGGCACAATTTTCCTTAATTTACCCCTCTGCTCCACATTTTAAAATTTCAAAACAAACAAGTCACATGTGATTAAACTGCACATTCCAGACTTTAATAAAGTTATTTGCATAGCTTTTGGATTCACCGGGTAGAAGTTACAACAGTTTTTATACATAGTCCCCCTCATTTCAGGGCACCATAATGTTTGGGACATTTGGCTTCACAGGTGTTTGTAATTTCTCAGGTGTGTTTCATTGATTCATTGGTGCAGGGATAAGATACCTTTGCTTACTTATACCATTTGGAGTCTTTAGTTGCTATTGTTAAGCAAGAGGAGAAAAGCTGTGCCAATGAAAGTCAAAGAAGCCGTTATGTGGCTGAAAAACAAGAATAAAACCATTATAGACATCAGTCAAACCTTAGGATTACAAAGTTAACTGTCTGGAATATCATTAAGAAGAAGGAATGCTGTCGGACTGGTAGGAAAAGGAAGATCTCCACTGCTGATGACAGAAGAATCCTCAGTATGGTAAAGAAAAACCTCCAAATGGTTGTCCAAAAATTAAATCAAATAAATTCTTAAATGGCCAAGCTAGTCACCCGATTTAATTCCATATGCCAAAGAGGAAACTTAATGGGGCAAGTTCCCGAAACAAGCAGGAGCTGAAGGTGCAGTAGAGGCCTGACGCAGCGTCAATAGAGGAGATACTCAGCACCTGATGATGTCTTTGAATCTCAGACCTCAAGCAGTCCTTGCATGCAAGGGGTATGCAGTTTTACTTATTTAGCAGATGCTTTTATCCAAAGAAACTTTATGGGATGGGATGACCCACCCCCACCCCCACCCCAACCACCCCCCACACACACACTAGAATGTGTGACAATATCAGGTCAGGTCGCCCACCACCCGGTGAAACACCTCGAGATCCCAGTTGGAGACCCCTCAAGGCTGACACGATCCAGTCCCACCCCCCAGAAGAGCCAATTTATCTGCCATGGCCAGGTGTTACGGGGGCGTCCCCTTGGCCTGGTCCAGCCGCTTGGGTCTTCAGCAATGAGGATCCTGTGAGCCGGATCACCCTCAGGGAATCGCGTCACGTGGCTGTAGTGCTGTAACTGATATTCCCACACAATGCAGGTAATGTGCCTCATTCAGGACTCCTGAGCAAGCGTTCATTCAAAACAAAGTCAAATCAGCGGTACCCAAGGATTCTTCGTCCTCCTTCAAAGATATTGGGTGCACCACACACCCCTTTCCAGTGACCTCATGACCCCCCCATGCTCCCCCAATCCTTCTACTGACTTCATAGGAAGAGTCACCAGAGACATGAATGTTGCTGTTGGGGTAAGCTAATCTCTCGATGAGGTTGACATTCTTTCCACAGACAGTCACTCTGCTGATATTTGTATCTGCGTTCAATAAGAACCCTCACTGCCAGACTGGGGTCGATGTTAGACCTCTTAGGCATAAAACCAGTCTTCTCCGGTCGCTGGTAGGTGAGCACAGATCCTGGTGAGGAGCAAGCAGGGACTTTAGCCAGCACACTTAGCCATTCCCCTGTGGTACTAAACATCACTGCTTTAATATACCTATTATTACTATGTCCCAAACATTTAGGGGGGGCACTATGTATTAAATGTGTTGTAATTTATAGATGGTGAAATCAAAATATATGCAAATACCTTTATATTGAAGCCTGGAATGTGCACTTTAATCACATCTGAATTATTTGATTTAAAATTTCAAACTATGGATCAGAGGGATAAATCAAGCAAAAATGTGTCTTTGTCCCAAACATTATGGAGGGCACTGTAAATTAGTTCATAGTTTGGCCTACCTATAATTTCAGTGCTTAATATGCAATTGTCTGCCAGACTTGAATGCAAATTTGTAATACAGTAAACTGGCTAATGCATTCACTGACTATTCATTGTATGCAACTATCCTGAATCTTGCAAATCGCCTGTTTTCTATGTTAGCGCTGCAGGAATTTATTTATTAATATAAGAAGCTATTTTGAACTCATACTGAAGATCACTGTGATATCTCTTCTTCTAAAATTATTTCCACTACTCCTTCACTATATAACAGCCATTACTGATGCGTTTTTCAAATTGCTATATAATGCATTTTTACTATTGTGACTGATGTAAGTAAAAAAAAGCAAGAACATTATGGAAGAAAGGTAAATTGACTTCTGTATCAGTACCAGTATCTACACTTATTAATGCTTGCAGTATTATCCCTTCCTCTCCTCTAAAATTGACTGAGAATAGCTTAGTTAGTGGCACACAAAACTGCTCACTGCTAAAGTGGTTTTTGCTATTTGTAGAAAGCCAGCTTCCAAGATCCCGTTGCTGCGGAGGTGGCAGGAAAACGCCTTTATAAAGCTGTAATATGGAATTGCCTTGTTTCCTGTTAAACGGAGCCAGGTCCTCCTTGAATTCCCAGCACTGGCTCACGTTCTTTCTAAACTGCCAAAATGTAGAGCAAAGCCACTTAATAATGTTAAGTCCTCAGAAGCCATAAGTAAGAGCCTTTGAGTGAATCCCATGTGTTCATAAAGCACAGAGGCAGGAATTTAGTCTTAAAAACAGCAATGAACCTTAGTTAACCCAACAAATCTGCTTAAGGGTCATTAGGCATTTCATCAGTAAACTGTTTTAGTGATACACGTAAAACACAGTATTATTATATTAGTCAGGCTTTGGTTTTATTGGTTTTTTACTAAAAGAAATTGTGAGTCCACTCAGTAGCTCTTAATTAACCATGTTAGCAATTCAGATGAATTTATATTGATATTATATTGTATTGTGTGATGTTTTATTACATTTTTATGATAAAAAAAAGCTAAATAATATTGGGAACATGCATCCATCAGAGGTAGATTTTATGTTTCTGTCATATACCATTACAATTCATTTGACTGAATGAAACAAATGTTAAACCATAAAATCAACCGAAAGTACTTTGTGTTCAGTAGTTATATTATTGCATGAAATTGTCCCATTTAGTGGTCAGGTATCTAGTCAATGCAGTGATTTGGAAAATCAAAAGACAACACAATACAATATAAATACAAAGTGCATGTTTTGTAATTTAAAGAATATTAACATCGATATAGGATAATACAAAATACGATCATGTTGTACAAGTGTAAAGTGTGTAAAAGTGCAAGATATAAACCGGTGACTCAAAGTTTGGGTCTCAGCAAGTTCTGAATGGGTTGCAAGACAGAGTTGGAAATGTAAACATTTTAAAGCCCTCAAGCTCAGATTTCCCAGCCCCAATCCTAGACATAAGCTTTATAAATAGGTCTTTGGTCTTCAACTACTTATTGCAAAACTAGTTGAACACTGAATCAATCAAAGAAGCCAACCCAATTGCTTAATTATAAAGTCACTCACACATCCAATCAGACTTGTGCGATAGGCATTGATTGGCATAAATTGCAGAGTGCACTGAACGCTGGATCACAGCATTAATTTAAACTTGACTTGATATAGGGTCACAACTGAGCTGGCATGGTAAAAATTGGGTTGCAGTGCAAAAAGGTTGAGCACCACTGATATAAAGGCTGTTAAAGGTTTGTTGAGACCAGGGTACAGGGTACACACAATGTAGAAAATATTAAAGAGCAGGTTATCATATTAAATCAAAAGTGTTACAGCACGCAAGAAAAAGTTATCATGAAATGCGAATTGATTGCCCGAGAAAAGGAGTCCTAACTGGTTATAACCTGCTTGCGGGAGGTCAGCAGTGATTTTCACAACTCTCATTTCAGCTGTGAAGAAGAAGAGATTATGGGTGCTGGGCAGACTATAATATACCCGGATGTGATCATGTTATGATGCATGCACCGCAGTGGGTGTGTGTCGGGTTTAATGGCATAGTGGGGGTGTTAAAACAGACTCAGTTGTAGCCGTGTAAGCCTGAACCAGTATGTCACAAGGTAGGCTGATTTTAAAAAATTTTAACAGCCATAGAAAATGCATCCCTGCTGGGCCTGGCGTTAATGTTTGCTATCTCTCTCAAGTCCTGAGAAACTGCAGTTTCCAGGAACTGTGTAGGAACTATGCTTGCAATGAAGTGTCTGCTTCATTTTTAAGTGTCTTTGGATAAAAGCGTAAATAAGTAAAACTGGAGAAGCTTTGTGTGTCAGTTCTGTGACAGTGATATCAAATGCTGAGAAGGAGCATCCTAACAGAACCCCCCAAACGGCCAAGGTGCGTAGGTTGTAATATGACCCCATGTTTACTGATCCATGGTTGGCTGGTAGTGTTGGGATGGTTGCTTTTGAAATTGTAATAGGTTACAGATTACTAGTTACCCTGTTAAGAATGTAATAAGTAATGTAACTTTTGATTTTTATTACTTCATCAAAGTAATTTCATTACAGTTTCGTTACTGTTCTAACAAATGTTTTAAACTGGGCAGTAATGTTGAAAATCCCCTACAGTGCTGACCTGTGTTTTGTGGAAATATGCCAAAATAAGGCATTTCTGTATGGCAAAAAGATGCAACGCAACACAATGAATGTTATATTTTACATATAAGCTTTTTACTGAAAAAAAGTATATTCGGGTGTAACCCTTTGTAATGACCAATATTTTTATTAGTGACTGTAATTTACATATTTTATGGCAACAGAGGTCAGAACAACAGTTCAGCTGATCTGCACGTACTTTCATACAGTACAGTGTGACATCGTCAAGATCTGTCTTCTATGATGATTTTGAATGCAGACTGGTTAGGGGGTGCAGTGTCTGTGAGTGATGAGGGGATTTGGATAGAGGTTGTGTTAGAACAGGTGAAGGGACTGACTTTACTCTTCTAAAATCTCAAGTAGAATGTATTCAATTTGTTAGCCAACTGATGGTCCTCCACACCATGCAGTTATTGTTGCACAGGGGATGTCATGCAGACCTTTCCACACTGATGCTGAGTTGTTGACAGAGAACTTGTTTTCTGGCTTTTCCGAGTAGCTTTTTTGGCTGTTTCAGTTTCCTTTATCACTGTATTCCTTCCCTGGGAATAGAAGGACCTGGATTTCACTTAAGCACCGAATTATTCCTGTGTGCTGATTGGCCAGTCTCCTATAATCATACATGTGTCACTAATGTAAATATGAAACAGCTGGATGAGTCTTTCAGTCAAGGAAACAAGCCAGTCAAAGCACAAGGAGAACTGAACTCTTTAGCCAAGAACAGGAGCCTTTCAGTTTTGAAGTTATTTGTAAAACCTGAAGTAGCTCAAAGTGTCCAGCCTAACATGGATTATCTGGTCACCCTATCTTAGAATTCTCTAATTATCCACAGTAGGTAGCATGGTGATTCAGTGGGCAGAAGGGCTGAGGTTGGGATCCTACTTCTGCTGTGTGCATAAGGTTTCCATATAGCCCTTGTAGTTGAGAATTTTCGTCCCACAGTACAAACACAGGCAGTTTTGCTATTCTCTGAATTGTCCATGTAGAATGATTGTACATGCAAGTATGTGGCCCTTGATCAGGATAAGCAGTTTAGAACAGGGCTGTCCAACCCTGCTCTGGGAGATCAACCACAGCTGTCTGAATGAGGCAGCGAGGCAGGCTGAGTGAGGCAGTGAGGCAGGCTGAGTGAGGCAGCGAGGCAGGCTGAGTGAAGCACCTTCAATAGCATGACATTATTAAAGCCAGCTATGTTGAAGCTGAATTGCCCCTGATACTGAAATGCTACTAAAGGGCCTGATTATCTGTATCAGGTGTGTTAAATTAGGCGACACCTATAAGCTCTGCCTTGTGGTGGATCTGCAGGAGCAGGGTTGGGCAGCCCTGAGTCAGAAGATGAATGATTGTAGGCGGCTGACTTTAGCAGTTCACTTCAAACATGTATATTGTTTGCGGATTAAAAAGGCTTAAAGCATTGAAGAATTGTTTTATACACTTCAATAGAGAATATATTTATACAGACACAGAGGTGGAGCAGAACGTGGAAGAAACTCAAGAAATGATCTGCCTCGAACACACCCCACTACCCATCCCTGGTTCCACTGTGCAGGTCAACACCAGCTTCCTTTGCATGCACATTGCTCACATGGACCCTCAGTCCCACCTATCAAAGCACAACAGAGCCTTTATTTGTCGCCTGAGAAGAGCAAGCCTTCCTCTCCCAGTCCTCATGACACTCTACAGGGGCACAGCAGAGAATGTCCTGACCAGCTGTATCACCGTCTGGTATGAGAGCTTCAAAGTCTCAGAATGCAGTATCCTGCAGAGCATAGTGAGGACAGCCAAGAACATCGGGACCCCTCTACCATCCATCCAAGAAATCTTCGATAAACACTGGATCCACGAAGCCACACTCGTCCTCTATGACCCTTCTCAACCCTCTCTTGGCCTCTTCGACCTCCTCTCATCTGGAAGGAGACTCTGCAACATTCAGACCAACTTCACAAGATTCTGCACCAGCTTCTCTCCTCATGCCATCAGACTCCTAAACAAACAGCAGCCCTGTCTGGAATCCCAGTGAACGACTTAATTCATAACTATTTACGAACCATTTTCCCCAGTAGCTTTACGCATATGCATCCCCCTCTTTCCCACAGTCAAACCCACTTCAGAGAAGTCCTTAAAAAAAGGAAATAACACTTAAAATAAACTATTACACACTGATATAACTAACACAAGCCACATTTTAAACATAACTTTACAAGGTGATTTAATTTTATTATATTTATAATATCTATAGATGTTATAAGTGAACTAAATATTAGCTTTGTTGAACTGAATATGTTCAAACACTCCACACACACGTCACACACTTCTACATGGCCAAAAGCAATATTGCAATTTTCAGAAAGTTGAACGTGTAACTTAAATAGACACAAGTGTTACAATCCAAAACAGATGTGGATAATTAATTATGTTTTCGGCTCAGTGAGAAACCCCCGCTTGTATGTACTATTCCATGCCACCCAGATGAAGTTCTGTGGGATGTCGAGTGATTCTTTTTCTAGTAGAAGTCACCACACAAAAAATGTGAAGAAATGGACATACATTATATCATACTAACTGATTATCTATTGTGGGTTGTTAAAAATTTATTTAAAGATTTAAAAATAATTTATCTACTTTTGTGTTATTTGATCTTAAAACTACATTGGTAATGCCAGTTCGAAGGAAATTGTTGAGAGATCATTAAATCGGAGTTATAAATTACATCTGAATATGCCTAACAAGTTTTGGTAATGCTGATCGCGCTGCACAAAATTCAAACACTGTATTTGGGCGATTTCACACTGTATGAACTTTTTGATGGAACCAGAAAAAGTCCCTGGTCTAAACAGCCTAGGAACTTGCATACAAGGGACTATGTTGCAGAACTTTGGTGTGAAAGGACTTTTCACGGTAACATTTTGTTTTTTTGTTGAAGGATTCTCACATTTTGTGACAATGATCAAATATAAGCACAGCAGGCTACCGCCATGCTTACATTCTGAAAATAAAAGGCTTTCTTCGGATTTCAATTAGGTTCACAATGTAAATGGAATAGTCCACGCGCCACATTTAGCTTTTTGCCAAAATCAGCGAGTGCATAACCCACTTCTCTTGCTTGATGAATTAGTTATACTTCTTGCATGGCTGTGACTTCTTTTTCTTAATGAAACCCGTGTAACTTTTTAAGTGCTTTTTTGAATTAAGTGCTTAATGGAATAATCAAACTCTTTGTTGTTAAAATAGAAGCAAGGGACTATTGAAGCAGGTGCAACAACATTGCACACCTATAGTCATACTAATCCAAAAAAAAATTCTCCTCAGTCCTAATGCCTCTATTTGTATCTCTCAACAGGAATTGCTGTAGACAAGCAAGGACTTGTCTATTTTGTTGATGGAACCATGATTAGAAAAATTACTGAGAAAGGCGTGATTACAACTGTCATTGGCTCCAATGGCTTAACGTCTATTCAACCGTTGAGCTGTGATGCAAGAATGGACATCACCCAGGTAATATTGGCATTTCTTCTCAATCATCTCATTGGCACTTCACGTTGCAGATCTAAGAATGGTGAGTGGCATAAGAACATAAAAAATTTACAAACGAGAGGAAGCCATTCGGCCCATCAAGCTCGTTTGGGGAGAACTCAACTAATAGCTCAGAGTTGTTAAAATCTTATCTAGCTCTGATTTAAAGGAACCCAGGGTTTTAGCTTGCGCTACACTAACAGGAAGACTATTCCATACTCTAACTACATGCTGTGTAAAGAAGTGCTTCCTTAAATCCAGTTTGAAATGTTCTCCTGCTAATTTCCACTTAAGACCATGAGTTCTAGTATTTAAACTAATATTGAAGTAGCCATTTGGCTGAACAGCATCCAGACCTGTTAGAATCTTATAGACTTGGATCATGTTGCTTGAGGCTAAACAGATTCAGCTCAGCTAACCTCTCCTCATAAGACATTCCTCTAAGACCAGGAATCGTTCTTGTAGCCCTACAATTTTCCTGTTTTTCAGTTTTGCTCTTTGAAGAGATTCAGATGCATAGTGTGCACATTTTCATATATTTAGAAATGCGATTGTACACTGTCACTTGGCATGTACCGTTTTTACGAGATAGTGTGCATTATTACAGTAGCTTCACGTGGGTCTGGTTATAATGTTTCGGGTCATCAGTCTATATTGGCTACACTGATGTTGCAGAATATGGACAAAACCACAGAAGCTGATGCATCAATTGCACTGCTGCTGATTGTGTTAGGGTCTGAAGTATGTTCTCATGGCACAAAATGGCCCCTCTTGATTACACTGGATACACATTTGAATGCTAAGGGATGTGTAAATATCATTCAGTTACTGTACATCTCTTCATAGCAGCAGTGTTCACCTATTAATGTTTTTTCAGCATGATAAGACTGCAAGGCTAAGATTGTCTAGGAATGGACCCACATTCAAAGACAATGAATTCAACTTATCGCACTGGCCTGTCCAGTTGGCAGATCCCAGTTCAACTGAACATCTGTGTAATGAGATGGAGTAAGCTATTTGGGGAGAGATCCACTACAGGCCAGTGCAAAACATCTGTGGGAAGCACTGGAGTCATTATATTTCGTACAGTCAGCATAAATTCCAAAAGCAACCTTCGTATCTAATACAAGGTAGATTATAAATCCCTATATAAAGCAAAATTATCCCACAAGCTTCCTTTCCATAATAACTCTGAGTAGTTCATACTTCTTTCTAAACCATATATATTCTTTCTCATCATTCTGGAAATTCTTCACCCATAATGGAGCTCACCACAGGCCCAGGCCTATTTAGAGTAGTAATTCATTCAACAATAGAACACATAGAATATGGCTCAGAACTACCAAAATTTATCCTAAATCTCCTGTATTATTGCCCGTCAGTTTTTGTTTTTACAGCAAGAGGTTATAAAACAGAAAAAAATTGTTTTCAAAAGAAAAGTAAAAATAACATTTATTAAAAATTACGATAGAAAATCTATGTTTAGTATACAATATTTAAAGCAAAACGAATACTCAACATTTTTTATATATGTACATTGATACCTTCAATTAAAATGTTTAAGAGAAAGATTATTATATAGGTTAAATTATGACAAGCTATTTAATTATATATGTTTTGGCAGTTATGTTATAAAATTAATTTCAGATATATAATAGGGGGTTGGTGTCTGAATTGGCATTTAATGTGGAAAACCATATAAGGAAGAAGATTTTTTTTTTTTTTTTAGGTACGCCTGGAATGGCCTACAGATTTGGCTGTCAACCCCTTGGACAATTCTCTTTACATTCTGGATAATAATATTGTTATCCAGGTGTCAGAGAGTAACCAAGTGAGGATCATAGCAGGACGTCCTATTCACTGTCAAGTTCCAGGGATTAATCACTACCTACTGAGCAAGGCTGCCATTCACTCGACCCTAGAGGCAGCCAAGGCCATTGCAGTGTCCAGTCAGGGCATACTTTTCATTGCTGAGACAGATGAACGAAAGATCAACCGTATCCAGCAGGTTACAACCAATGGTGAGATCTCTGTTATTGCTGGAGTAACAACTGACTGTGACTGCAAGATAGATCCCAACTGCGATTGCTATTCAGGTGAGCCTGCACTATCCTTAGCCCTGCATAGAACTATGTGATTATAGTAATGAAGTCCAAACTAGACTGCAAAACCTGTACATAATACTTTATCATGCTCAAAAATATTTCACATAAAAAATACCAAATATATGCCATTCAAATATCTGTCTCAAATGCCTGTAGCATTTTTCAGTCTCAACAACCATGGCAGAATTCATTGCCGGTTCATTACATGTATCACAAATTACCCATTTATGGAATTTGGATATATAATGATTAGGTGGACTTTGATGTAATTGCCTTGTTAAACTCCCGTTAGTCATATGAAGGCTGAAGTTAAACACCATCATAAGTGCCTTTCCCTTCTCGCTGATCAGCCTAATTAGGGGCTGTCAGTTTGCTCATGGCAAATTTCAAATATAAACACACTTTTTAATTTCCGATTTTGCTGTAATTGTATTTTTACTAAATTAGGCATTACCAAATCTATATTTGCAAAAAATCTATTTCATTGTAATCTAATGATTAAGTTTGCATATAAGAACTGACAATATAGGACAGAATATGACAGCCAGCATCCTTGCATATTCACTCTAAGGTTTTATAATGAATATTGAACATATTGAAAGCTCTTACTAAACTTTGTGGAATAATGTGTTTAATTATAATATAATTATGAACACTGATTTCCCTCCGCTATATGAAAGCAGAGTTTTCCTATGAAACATTTTGTAAGATGAAATGCCGTAAAGTGAAGAAGGAATTACCATCATCTTATATGGGAAAAAATTTGAGCGTTCCCAGACCCCAAAAATAACCTACTAAATAATATCAAGTAACACATAAAACCTACAACAGGGTTATTCAACTCACGGTCCTCGAGGTCCGAGCACTGCTGGTTTTCCAGCCTTCCTTTACCTGTCAGTCAGGTGTGAAGCCTCTGACCAATCAGAATCAGTCATTATTAAACAACTACCTGGGAGAACTGAAAACAAGGCCTGGATTTGGAATCGAGGTCCAGAGTTGAAGAACCCTGACCTACAATAACACTTAACATATAGTAAAAGCAGGAATGACATTATAAATACACAGACTATGTAAAGTACAAAAAATAGCTACAGTGTAGTTTTGCTAATCAAAAGAAATCCGAAGGGGATAGATGCTTACAGGTACAATTCAAAACTTTGAAGGCTTGATGCTGAGATGCTGAATGTGCTTCCAGGGGAAGGCGCCCTGCTCGTTGCTTGGGGGTTTGCGCTGCCTTGATAACAGCTCACTGCAAAACAAACACTTAATGCTGGTTTTTTTTTCGTATAAGTGAAAATCCTCTTGAGGTTTCTTTCGGTTAGTGAAAACAGGTACTAATTTAGGTCTTTTGTAAAAGAGAAGTGGCGTAAAGTGAACTTTCATAAAGGGGGGGGGGATACCTGTAATTATTTTATTTTAACAAAATTCAGGAAATACAAGCAAAGTAAGTAATATATTGCAGTCAATAAAACTGGATTGAAAACATGCAATTTTGTTGTGAGCAGACCAAAAATAAAGGGTATTAGAAAATGAAACCAGGAATCAGACATAACAGAGTACCGTGTTAGAAACTAATAAATGTTACTATATATCTTTTACTTACTCGTACCTTACACCAGTGGTCTCCAACCTTTTTTACAGTGAGAGCCACATTTACAAAGAAAATAATCTGGGGAGCTACCGATTCCCGGTACATGGATGGGGGGAGTCCCCAACCGTATATTTTAATGACTTGGGGTCCCCGGTTTTGCTGAATGGGGGGGAGGTAGCAGAAGATTGATCAACCTACTGATTGTGTTTGACAGATCGACCGGTTGGCCTCTTAAATGACGCCTTTTTAAAATCGATTAACTCACGCAACGCAGATTCAGCATATCATTAAAAAAGGCACAACATGCAATCGTAAACTTTGTGACTTCCTGATATTGTACCTCCTCTGCAAGAATACCTGGCTGCTTATCCAACACATCCTGTAATAGCAGGATCAGTTTCCAGGATACTTCAGCTTGCTGGTCTTTAACCGTGTGCTTTTCTGCACCTTGGTTCTCTTTAGGGGATGGCGGCTATGCCAGAGACGGAAAGCTGAAGGCACCATCATCCTTAGCGGTGTCACCTGATGGTACTCTATACATAGCAGATCTGGGCAATGTCCGCATCCGTGCCATTAGCAAGAACAGGCCGCAGCCCAACTCCGAGGGCGTGTACGAGATCGCCTCACCCGCGGTGCAGGAACTCTACCTCTTCAGTGCTAACGGCACTCACCTCCACACCCGCAGCCTCATCACCGGGGACTACATTTACAATTTCACATATTTAGCGGACGGGAGTGTGAGCACGATTGTCAGCAGCAATGAAAACTCGATCCACATTCGCCGGGACACCAATGGCGGCCCCCTCTGGCTGTTGGTGCCTGGTGGCCTGGTGTACTGGCTCTCCATCAGTAACAGCGGCACCCTCAAGAGGGTTTCTGCTCTGGCTCATGATCTTGCCCAGATCACCTACCATGGCAACACAGGTCTCCTAGCAACGAAGAGCAATGAAAATGGCTGGACTACAGTTTTTGAGTAAGATTTTTCATTTCACTAATTCAGTTTCATCATTACTTTACTCTCAATTCTGATGCTTATAGAAAAAAATCTGTAGTGTGTCATGATAATTTACTTGATAATTAATTGTATTAATTACTTAATAGTGATCATTCAGGAATGTTTATGGGAGAAGAAATATTTATTCCGGTTTTGGTGTTTCTATGTACCCTTTCATGTCATTAAATACGATTGGGCATCATTAACATATAGACCTTATGTACTGTCCTTAAATTGTCCTTGAGCAAGGTCTCACGTAATATATTATTTTTTTGCCCTGTACTACAATTTTCAAGAAATTTTCAAGGAGAATTTATTCAACTGAGAACATTTTCATAGCCTTGCAATGGTTCTCTGCTTTGGGAAAAAATTTGCTACTTTTTTTGCCCACAGCAGTTTGTTATGCTATATTGCATACATTTATATGATTTGTGTGAAGAATTGTGACTATTTATGGAGGCTTTTTTTCTAGTTCATAGACGAGTCAAATTCACCATTTTCGTATGGAAATACAGTAGCATTACTGCCATCTTGTGGCAGAATGTTAAGATCAAGCTCAAGAAGATAAAGCTTTAAATATATTCTATTTGAATATATCTTAACTAATTTCAGAACTTCTTAGTACTACCAAATGTACTAAATAACACAAATATCAGATATTCAATTGTAATAAATTTAATATTTGTTATGTTCATTTGAAGAAAAATATTTTTTAATTAAATGTCTTTGGAAGTTTTGTGCATCAGTCATTTTTGAAACAAACAAATGGACTAAAGATCTGACTCAAATTTTGTTCTTTGTACAGGTACAACCCTGAGGGTCACCTCATCAACATGACCTTTCCCACAGGAGAAGTCAGCAGTTTGACTGGAAACATGGAGAAGTCCGTAAAGGTAGAGGCAGACACATCACAGGGGGAGAACTTCATCATCACCACTAACTATTCAGCGACCAGCACAATCTACACTTTACGACAAGGTATATGACTATTAATACATATGATCATTTTTTTTGCATATAAAATTTAAGGGCTGAGTTACGACCAAATCGACTTATGACTGGTCAGTCAGAACTGATCGCGGTCGTAAGTTGATGATGACCTGTATAACAGGTGGTCCACTCAGTTGAGTTTATAAACAGTATACATGTGTGGTCTGTTGTTGGTTTGGGATGGATGGATGGTGGACAGAGGGAGTTAGGGTGATTTAAAGGGCCCCTGATAGATGGGGCCCTAAACAAATTGAAACGTAGTTGGATTGGTCTGTGTTGGGGACCCAATATGATGCACTTTCATGGGGCCCAAAATTTGTAGTGGTACCTCTGAGTACATATAATACAGACTTAATGAAGTAGGAATAATGCCTGTATATATTTGTAGCATTATATTCTTACTGTAGAAGCTCCAAAGTTTTAGTTCTGTGTGTAGCAATATGTTTTCTGTAAACAAAGCATAAATTGGTCAGCCAATCCCCTATCAGCCATCTCCTGTCAGCCAACCCCCTGTCAGCCAATCCCCTGTCAGCCATCTCCTGTCAGCCAATCCCGTGTCAGCCATCTCCTGTCAGCCAATCCCCTGTCAGCCAATCCCCTGTCAGCCAATCCCCTGTCAGCCATCTCCTGTAAGCCAATCCCCTGTCAGCCATCTCCTGTCAGCCAATCCCCTGTCAGCCATCTCCTGCCAAAGCACCAATGCCATTTATATTTTTATGTAATAAATTGCACCTTAGGAACAACAGAATTTTAATGTGAGACACAGACTATAAATTAAACTAATGGTTCCTTTTTTATATGCACTGCATGTAAACAAATCTAGTGGCTACATAAACCCTACATAAAACACAGCTTATAAGTAATGGTGATCAGTGAAAACAATCACGCAAGAGGGCATTGTTACATGTGAAGGATATTATAGCATGTTTTAGTATCTGTTGCCTGAGAGATGACCTTGTACTGGGTAACTCCTATGAACATGTTTATTTCAGTGATAGTTCACGCAGGAGAAGTTCAGCTGCGGGGTCGTCAAGCAAAGGACTAAGTGCTCATTTCTCTAAAGACTGATGCTATACAGACTATTTATCATGTTATTGCATTTCTTTATTTAAACCGTGATTTTATTGAACATCTACTCTTGTGTATACAGCAATATATTAATGTACTGCTGGAGTACAGCGTCTTATTTCTGTGGCGCAGTCAAGCTAAAAAATCACCTCAGGCCTTAGTGTGCGCATAAGCATCAGCCTCTGCAAGGCTTTAATAAATAACAGGCCTGCTGAAGTCAGGAGGAAGGGGAAGCTCCCGGACTGGGGGGGGGGGCGCGCGAGACACCTCACCCCACGTCGGGCTATATTAAGGAGAGCTGCCGGGCTTCGTGGGTGGCAGCAGCCGGCGGGATCCTTTGTTTCCAGCGGCGCTGGGGGTGTGGCTTCACAGTCGCATGCTGGCTATCTGTCCAAAACACTGGTCCTGAAAGTTGACAGATGGCGTCCGAGCTGTCCAAGCTGCTGCAGCAGGAGGTGCTGTCTTGACATTATACTAAATATAGACTTCTTGGAATGTCTGTATGAAATGTCAACCACAGCATAATTTAATATATATATATATATTAGTGATGCGCGGGTCGGGTATTTTTCCAACCCGCGGGTCCCGCTTTTATGAAATTATTTGGCCCGCCCCACCCTGCAAATAAAGTGACGATTTCTTTACCCGCCCCAACCCGACCCGCGGGGTCCGCGGGTTACGAGACGACCCGTGCATCACTAATATATATATATATATGTGTGTGCGTGCATAATGTATTGAGCATGAAAAAGTCTTTCAATACATCTGGTAAATAGAGATAAAAGTCATTAGGCTATTGACTAGGTATGACTTACCTAGCATTCCTTGGGAACATTGACAGCTTTAGAAAAAGATACAGAAATTGAGCGCAAATACATTTATGTCAATAAATTACATTTATTTTGTTTCCCTGTTTTCCTATTGTGAATATAACATTCTCCCTAAACTGTTTTCTTGCAGACCATGTTCAAAACACTTACCTGGTCAGTGCCGATGGCTCCCTGAGCATCACCTTCGCCAGTGGGATGGAGGTGACCCTCGGTACAGAGCCACAGATTTCAGCAGGGACTGTGAACCCTGCCATGGGCCGGTGTAACGTAACACTGCCCGGGGAGCACAAAGCCAGCTTGATCGAATGGAGGCAGAGGAAGGAGCAAGCCAAGGGGAACTCTACAGCCTACGAGCGCAGGCTGAGGGTATGCCGGCCGGCCTTCTCTCAGAGACACACGCGTCTTAAGAAAAACTTGCATGGAGATTTTATCCATTTAGAAAGAAGAAGTTCGGCTGGTGTCTGGCTCAGCTGGCTAAGCCTCTGTGCCTGTAACTGGAAGGTCACCAATTCGGGGCCAACCTCGGCAGAACAGCCACATGTCGGTGGGCCCTTGAGCAAGGCCCTTAACCCCCCAGCTCCAGTAGTGCTGCACACTGTCTGATCCTGCACTGTGCCCTCCCCCCCCACACACACACACACACGCTTGCTCTCACCTGCATATGTGTCTGTGTGTCTCATGAAGAGCAAGATGAGGTCGGGGAAAAGAGAATTTCCCTTACGGGGATCAGTATACTATTTTTTTTCTTAAGTGAATTTAAATCCACCAAAAGAAAGTCTTATTATGCAGCAGACAGTAAAAATAAACAAGACTATGTGTAAGGATATGGTTGGCTGCAAATAAAATATAACGATGAAATGTTTACAGAAAAAGTCAAATATATAAATAGTATTTTATAGTATTATTATTGTGTCGTTTATGTTTAAATGGATTACTTAGATCCAAAGCCATGCATCTTTTACCTTCAAACTAAAATAAATATTTCATACTGTTGCAATACTTGTATGTTAGCAAGGTGTTACAAAAGAAATGTCTTTATAAATTGTTTTTGAAAGATTTTGTGGAGGAAAACGTCTGAAAATACTTGCACATGTAACACCTGATCTGTGATTTTGTCACTGTTGTTTTCTTTGTCAGGCTCATAACCGAAATCTGCTGTCCATCGACTTTGATCGTACCACCAGATTGGGCAAGATCTACGATGATCATCGTAAATTCACTCTCAGGATCCTCTATGATCAAAGGGGCCGTCCCATTGTATGGTCACCTAGTAGCAAATATAATGAGGTCCATGTAACATATTCACTGGAAGGACTTGTGACCAGCATTCACAGGGGAAACTGGACGGAGAGGCGTGAATATGAGCACGGCAGACTGATCGCCCGGACATGGTCTAGTGGAAAAACATGGAATTACTCATTTCTTGATAAGGTAATGTTAAAATAAAATTTTGAAAGATTTTTACAGTGTTCCTTTAATAAGTGTCACCCTGAAGGGGCATTGGTCAGGACTCTTGTTTCAAGAGTCTCCCATTCCTGCCACAAGAAGAAATGTTTACATTTCAGAATGACCAAATCAGAATGTTGACCATAACTGTACTTTGTTTCTTTGGCATAACGTGAAGTCGGTTATTCACTTTAAGCCAAAAATACGACCGAGGTTATCGTTGCTACAGGAAGCTCCCTCTTTTATTTAACATAAAGTCGTATATTTTTTTTGACCAATTAAATGGAAATGGGCTGAATGCTTAAAAAAAGTTTAATTATTTGTAATTTTTATTATTATGACATAGATGAAGATCATATCACATGTTAAGAGAAATTAGGATCATATTCAAAGATTAATTAAAATGGATATGTACGATATTTTTTTCACAACTGAAACTGTATTGGATTAATGGTTAAAATCATTCTGCGTAGCGTGATATTCTGCACCCCGCAGTCATATAAGCGATCCATTCAGTCATCCACCTTCTATAGCCTGTAATTGATTGAGCTTTATAACTGCAGTGACAAAAAGCCCAAGAGAAGCATGAACGGCTTTTTCGATGGTAACAGAATCCCTACACCAGCAACTGTTTACACAAATTTAATCAAAAAGTCATGTGCTTTAATAGGTTTTGCATATAACGAAACTTTAATTAGAAAGTTCACTTTGTTTTTGTTTTCTTCTGTAATTGCAGTCAGTCACACTGCTGTTGCACAGCCAGCGGAGGTACGTCTTCGAGTTTGACCAGATGGATCATCTTCTCTCTGTCACTATGCCCAGCATGGTGCGTCACGGCCTGCAGTCCATGCTGTCAGTAGGATACTACAGGAACATCTACAGTCCCCCAGACAGCAACTCTGCTATAATCCAGGATTATACCCATGATGGGCTGCTGCTCAGGACACTCTATCTGGGCTCAGGACGTCGCATTCTGTACAAGTATACCAAGCAGTCCCGTCTGTCAGAAGTCTTGTATGACACTGTCCTGGTGACCCTAACGTACGATGAGACCTCTGGCATGGTCAAGACCATCCACCTCATGCATGATGGCTTCACCTGCACCATCAGATACAGGCAAACAGGTAAACTGTATAGCTAACATCCGCTACTCATTTATCTCCCAATTGTTGCCCATTGTTCGTGGGATAGGCTCTGGTCCCCCCGCAACCCCAGTTGGGATTCAGCGGTTTCAGAAAATGGATGGATGGATATTTATATCTAACTATCCATTTTTAACATAGTCGAAGATATAATTGAAATGTTTTTACATGTGGTATAAAACAAATTATATTGCATTTTAAAAAAACTAAAGCTAGTGAAAATATTTTTCTATTGTCTTGTTCCACAGGTCCCCTTGTTGGGCGTCAAATCTTCAGATTCAGTGAAGAAGGACTTGTAAATGCCAGATTTGACTACAGCTATAATAACTTCAGAGTCACCAGCATGCAGGCTATGATCAATGAGACTCCACTTCCTATTGACCTATATCGCTATATAGATGTTTCTGGCCACATTGAACAATTTGGTAAATTTAGTGTCATCAATTATGACCTCAACCAGGTCATAACCACCCATGTTATGAAGCACACTAAAATATTTAATGCTAATGGGCAGGTCATTGAGGTCCAATATGAAATATTAAAATCTATTGTTTATTGGATGACCATGCAGTATGACAGCATGGGGTGTCTCATTGTATCTGACATCAGAATTGGTGCGGATAGCAATATTACGAGATACTCTTATGAATATGACGTTGATGGTCAGCTCCAGACAGTAACTGTGAATGACAGACCACAGTGGCGGTACAGTTATGACCTAAATGGTAATATCAACTTACTGAGTCACGGAAACACTGCCAGGCATACCTTACTGCGCTACGACTTACGAGATCGGATTACAAGGCTTGGGGATATACAATATAAAATGGATGAGGATGGGTTTCTTCGTCAGCGTGGCAATATTGTATTTGATTATAACTCCAATGGACTTCTTGCAAGAGCCTATGACAGAATTCGTGACTGGACTGTGCATTACCGCTATGATGGTCTGGGCAGGCGTGTAGCCAGCAGGAGAAATACAGGACAACATCTTCAGTTTTTTTACGCGGATCTTAGCAAGCCAACGAGGATCACTCATATGTACAACCACACCAGCTCAGAAATCACATCCCTTTATTACGATCTGCAGGGTCATTTAATAGCTATGGAGCTCAGCAGTGGAGAGGAATACTATGTTGCGTGTGACAATTCTGGGACTCCTCTAGCAATTTTTAACAACCATGGGCAAATAGTTAAGGAAATTCTGTACACTCCTTATGGCGATATATATCATGACTCCAATCCATCTTTTCAACTGGTCATTAGTTTCCACAGTGGGCTGTATGATCCTCTCACGAAACTGGTACGCCTTGGGAGAAGGGACTATGATGTGGTTGCGGGCCGATGGACCACCCCAAACTACAATTTGTGGAGTGAGCTTAGCACTAACCCAAAGCCATTCAACCTCTATAATTTTCAAAACAATTATCCATTTGCGCATATTCCGGATGTCAGTCAATTCACGACAGGTAAGATGAAAAGCAAAGACATATACAAACTCAATGGATGCGTATATACTGACAAAATGTACTGGAAAAAGATTCTTTGATGTCAAATTGAAAACAAATCTCTATGATGTGATCTAAATTAATTGCAGATATAAAAAAGGAAATTATTTATTGCATCAGATATTTAGTAGAGCTGCCTTCCATTACAGCCCCGAGGCTGTGCAGATAGGTCTCTATCAGCTTTGCACATCTGGTCACTGCAATTATTCCCCATTCTTCAAAACTGCTCAGGCTATCTTGAGTTCATTTTTACATTAAAGAATCTTTTACAAGATAATCGTAGATCTTGCCCTAGTAATGTGATCAAAGTTGATGGACAGCAGAATCGTCATCATTCTGCTGATTAGTGTCAAAAATGTCTAATTCATCCCACTGTGATTGAATGTAATAAAACAATAAATTAGAAAAAACACAGAATATCTTTTATAGGCACTTTGTGACTTTGTACTATTTAAGGTACTGTAACACAGTATCGAGACATTTTACTTTATGCTTGTATGCAACATCCATACATATATGCTATTTTGTGAACAATTTTCATCATCCTTTGTTATCAGGTATAGGCAGCTGGTTGGATCTGTTTGGCTTTCAGCTACACAATGTTGTGCCTGGTTTTCCTAAACCAGATGTGCAGAGCACAGAGCAAACCTATGAGCTCATGAAGACCCAAACCAAAACGCAGGATTGGGACCCCAGCAAGGTGAAGCACAATCTGCTTTGGTCATTATTTTTTTCATCTAAGACAGTGTTTCCCAATCCGGTCCTTGAGGACACACAGCCGGTCCAGGTTTTTGCTCCCTTCAAGCTCCCTGCCTGACAGACCAAATATTTGCTCCCTTCCAAGGAAAAATGTGGACGGGCTGTGTGTCCCCAAGGACCGGATTGAGAAACACTGGTCTAAAACCTCTGACACAAATCTCTGTCCTTCCATTCAACAGGCAGTGCTGGGTATTCAGTGCGAGCTACAGAAACAACTGAGAAGCTTCATTTCTCTGGAGCGACTACCTATGACCTATAGCCATAGCCTGCTTGAGGGATGCCAGGGAAGTAGGCCTTGTTTCTCTGCCTTGTCATCCATGTTTGGGAAAGGTGTAAAGTTTGCTATTAAGAATGATATTGTCACCACAGACATTATTGGAGTGGCCAGTGAGGACAGTCGGCGCATTGCTGCCATTCTCAACAATGCCGTCCATCTGGCTGGCATGCATTTCACAGTTGAGGGCTGTGATACTCATTATTTCGTCAAATCTGGCCCCCTGGAGGGTGACCTGGCAGTAATGGCTAATGGGGGTGGTGCCAGAATCCTCGAGAATGGCGTCAATGTCACCGTTTCCCAGATGACTTCCGTGGTGGCTGACAGAACCAGGCGTTTTGCCGAGATCAGGGTGCAGCACGGCGCCCTGTGCTTCAACATCCGCTACGGGGCCACGGTGGAGGAGGAGAAAGCCCACGTGCTGGAGATGGCCCACCAGCGAGCCGAGAGGATGGCATGGGCACAAGAGCAGAAGAGGGTGCAGGAGGGTGAGGAGGGAAGCAGGGCCTGGACTGAAGGAGAGCGGCAGCAGCTGATAACATCTGGCCGGGTTCCAGGCTACGAGGCCGACTTTGTGCTGTCAGTGGAGCAGTACCTGGAACTTGCTGACAGCGCTGCCAATGTTCACTTTATCAAACAAATGGAAATAGGGAGGTAACAGTGGCGAAATGTCACGTTGTCTCCTTTTCACCAAAGTCAGCCTGTTTTTAGACAATTTTGTTCATTTGTTGTGCTGTTTTTTTTACTTTTTTTTCTAGGATGATGCCTAAACTCAGACGTGCTGCTTACGTTGTGTTCAGCTGTCTTCAGTTGTCACAAGTGATGATTTTTGTTCTTTTGACAGTTTCTTTTTAGTATCGTTAGTATGTGGATATTAGTATATGGAACTGGACGAAGATATTATTGTTCATATATATGATTTTTAGGCATACAATTTGGTTATGAGTTAACACTTTAAATGCTACATTTTTACAGAGGCCTATTAAAAGGCTAATGTTAAGCCTGAAATCCTGTATGATTTTCACACCTCCAATGTGTATTATTTTATAATGATAACATATATCTTAAAAATCCTGTAAATAATAAGAGCAAGTGTTAAAAATGATAATGTGTTAACTGTCAATATATCAATAGATGGCGTGAATTTAACGCATGTAAAACATAATGGAGAAAATCTGTGTAAAGTTTATGTTGGTACAATTAATATAGTAGATTGAACTTACCTGTTAATTATTGGAAATTATGCATATTATTTGTGGAGCTTGTGCTATTTTGATTTTGAATATTTTGAATATTTTTGAGGTATGGTGAAAACAAAAAATGTTGTTCCATACCAAGCAGACTTTCTTATTTCAATACAAATTATAAATTTAAACAGAAAACAAGTTGGGCAAAGTTTTAAGGCTGTTTTGTTTCTCTTCTATATTTGGCAGTGTCTTGGGTTTTCCAATTTTATGTGTAATGTTCCAGGATTTACTGTTTTAACTATTGGACTGATCATTTTTACAGGTTTGGAACCTAGCTTTTTTATTAAGATTACTAGAAGAAAACAAAAAATCATCATTAAATGTTTGGAACAACTAAACACAAAAGCTGTGAACATTGTTGTCAGCATGTGCAATGATGAAAACTGTAAAGATGCACTTTACAATTAAGGTGAAATGTGTACCTTAAACTGTACAGGTGTGATGTGTTGAGTATCTATCGGACAACTCTTAAACCCATGATCCTGATCATCATTACCTTCTAAATACATTACAAACAACTGACAGGAGAGATGACAGGCTGTCTGTTTCTGTCTTATGAACTTGTCAGACCTTTTATATTATACACAAAACTTTGATTTGTAAAAATTGTAAATTCTAAAATGTAAACTAACAATGCATTGAAGTACAAAGCTGTGATTTATAGAAATGACAACTTTGATGGAAGCACAGATTCAGGATATTTTTTGTATCATTCATTCATTTTTGTCAATGGTGATTCATCTTGTATATAAACTGTATGTTTTCAAATCCATATCCATATTTAAGGATTTACAGCTTATTAATTGGTTTGTTCATAGAATCAATTTGCAGAACAATTGAGGAGGAAAACCTGTGACTGGACAGCAAAACATTTCAATTTAGCTAGATTTAGCTAGTGCCCTTCAACCGTAAGAGTGAAAAAGAACTTACCTATCCATTCATCCATAATCAGAGGATTAGTTATTTATATATTTCACGAAATGAAAAAGCATGCTATATCGAGACATATGAAACACCAACATTTAATTAAGACATTGAGCATAAAAATTGCTGGATTTTAATGAATACATTTTAAGCCTCTTTGTAAACATAGTTTTGGGACATTCATTTGAAATAAAGTTTCCGATTTCAACACTGCATTACCTGACAGGTCATCAGCTACAGCATATATTTATACCTTCGTTGGTTTCAGCTGATGATGGGGGGGGGGGGAATCCTTTTTAAGGCCCCTTTTTTGCAAGGCCCCTGGGCTGCTACTCAGGTAAGCTCATGCATTAACATGCCTCTATTAAATCACACGAATTAGCAGGATTGTTCCTCAATTAATACATTCCAGCAAAAAAACTATTAAATTTTTTATACTTGCTGTCATTCTCAGGGTTCCTAAAAACACCAGTTCATTTACTATTGCACTGTACACTGCTAAATATCACTGTTACAAGCATGCCACGTGTTAGATATTACTATTCATCAACAGTAAGAAGCAAATCTTGAGATCTTGTTTGTTTTTTGTTTTGTTGGTTCATTCATTCAAAAACAACTGTCTTGCCAATTATTCAAAAGTTGTTTTATCATCATATAATATTGTTGTACTATAAATAATTGATCTTGCTTGACAGGAGTTTCCTACTTTGTGCTAGACATAACTGTTTTATATAATACCTCTACTTGTACACTTGTAAATAGAGAAAAAAAAACATTTTGATGTATTGATTGATGAAAGATATAAGAAAAGGTGATTTTAAGGCTTGGTTTTTTAAATAAATATATGGAAATTCACATTGTATTTTTCAGTGTAAAATTATTCATTCATTTTCTCTTTGAACTAACAGAAACATAAAAATTACTTTTGAAAACTGACAGATATACAGGACATAAATAGGTTGTGTATTTTATTTTCTAATTTTAAAATCAGAATGTTGACTAAAATAATACATTCGTAGATGATGCTGGTGATGGACAGCCATGAATCTGTATATTATGTATGTTCAATAAACAGAAGTTTGAAATAATACCGAAATATAACTCTGTTATGTCGGGGCTTGGGTCACGGTCCACTTGGTGGCTCTGACGTTTAGGAAATGTTATTCTCAAACACAGAAACAGTCAGAAACAAAGAGACCACGAGGTGTCTAAAACAGGCCAAGTAAGCTATATAAGCACTAACAAAGCCTAAAACTATACACGAGGAAACGTAGAACGAAGACAGACATAAGACAGGGTACAGCAGGGAACATCTAACTAACATTTTACACACATTTAGGAAACACATTCAGTAGTCAACAGAGGAACAGGGCATGAGCAGGCGCATATACGCACAAATAATAAGGTCTCAACAAGGGACAGGTGTGCGCCATTAACCATTACTCAAAGACTAGGGATGCAGAGATACAAGGAACACAGGAAATACCAGGGATACAGGACACACATACAAACTGAGCACAGGTAGGGTTAACTAGGGACAATCACACAAGCAACATGATTTAACATGAGGTTCACAAAAATATAGTTCTGGAGTACAAATCTCCAAAATGTTGGTTCACAGTCATATGCTCAGCCCATGGAACAAGGGAAACTGTGTGGACTGTGAATGGAGTTAAACCTAGGGGAACACAGGGTACTGAATGGGATGACCACCGACACCCACTGGCCAAACAGGGAAATGACGGACAGAACAGGACAAGGCAGGGGCACACCTATGGCCAATTTGGGTCACATGTATTAGTTTTAACTGAAAACTAAGAAACTAAAAATAGAAACCATAATTTTTTTGTTTCTATGTAATGGAATTTTCATAATTTTATTAGTTTGGGAGTTGGTTCTTTTAATTTCAGTATATTTTTGTGCCTCACTTGCACTTTTAATTTAATTTAAATTCTGATTAACTGTATGATTTTATCTTTTCGGTTTCAGTATTTGTTAACACTAATAACCTTGGGTGAAGCAAGAAGCTTCAGGCTTCCCTAATAAAGCGAATGGTGAGTCTGGATGCTGAAAACACATGAGGAAATACCAGGGCCATAGCACATGATTAACACCAAAAGTCTGCTGATTGTGAAGCAGGCCACCTGCAGGTCATCAAATCAAAGAGCCATTCTTTCCTCCAAATGCTCTTATTTCTCATAACATTCTATGAAGGCAGCAACACATATAGTCAAGATGATCAGTCATTAAATCACAGACTGTTTTACCAATGGCCATAGGTATTTCAAGCCCCCCCCCCCCTACTTTTTGTCCTAGCCCCCCCCAAAAAATAGTTTTTCTAAAACCATTTAGTTTAGTCATGGATTTTTATATACATATATTTCACACCCCTGGCTCTGCAAAGTTCCTTGTGGGGATCCCACCCCCCCACCTCTGCGGAAGACAGCAGCCGGCACCTAAACTGCTGAAAACGGCCAAATCACATGTGCAGACATGATCTGCTTTAAATCTTGACAGTCACGGTATGACCACACAAACCAGTCACAAACCAATTTCCAAAAAAATTTCTTACATGAATAACTAAACTTGAATTGCAAACAAATGCCCTTGGAATTACAAGCATTTTGGATACTTCTGTGTACCTGGTCAAACAGACTATTTTGAAAGCTGTACCGCTTGGGAACAATTGATAGAAATCTTATATCAAACAATTCTGCAACTGTGGCATTTGGTCAGCTTTTCCCTCTACGCCTCCAGTTTACCCTGACTTGAAAATGGCAAATAAACAGCTTGTGTTTAATTGTCTTTTTTTTTTTCTCCTTAATTGCTTTTCTGGCTTTGCATCGTAAGTTTTAATATTCATTCCCGGTGCACCCACACTGAGTGGCCAGCAATAGCTAAGCTGACAGCAACCAAGGCCATAAAAGTGTAGTGCAGCATAGCTGTAAAATAAGCTGGGACTTGTGATACAGTATGTCATGTCATTCTGTTGAATGCTGTATTGTACGCTGTGAGTCATGTGTACACGCATGTGCTGAAATACATGGCTGCAAACTGATGACGTGACAGACACTATATAAACAGGGGTAGCTTTTGCTGTGTTTGGCCATTTTAGCTTAGACTAAAGGACTATGATGGATATCGACCATTGAACCATTTCGGAGGTACGAATAGCACATAAATAGGTCCGACTGTCAGCCATGTTGGAATGCTAACATCCATCCATCTATTTTCTGTAACTGCTTATTCTATTCAGGATCACAGGCGGTCCAGAGCCTATCCCAGAGGCTACGGGTGCAAGGCAGGGAACCACTGTAGATGGGGCGCCGACCCATCACAGGAAATGCTAACATCTGTTATTAATATTTTATATCAGATAATGTTTTTTTTGAATGGCTGGAAACTTTTACATTACTATAATTACTATATTGTCATTATTGGCTGGAATGTTTTTACGCTATGATTTTTGAAGTATGGTAATGAGCAGCCGTAGCGCTACAGGTCAGTCAGCAGGGGGTGGAAACGATCAGGTTTAATCATTGGGGTGATGATCCTGTATTTCATCATGGGACTGAGCCCCCCTAAGGATCAAATCCACAAATTGTCCCTGTCAATGGCATGCTTTGGAAAAGGACATCAGCAGCAGCACATTTGCTATTTAATCAGCCAAAATTCCTTTATTACACGCCTTCTTTTGTCCCTGTAGGTGTTCACCTTAAGTTCTTCTCAAGTCCTTTCTGATTGCTTTGAAAGCTATTCATAGAACGGCACCAACCTACCTCAAGTGACTCAACAGGGCCTACGTTCCATCCCATCCACCTTGATCAACATGTGAATGGTTCCTGAAGACTCCTCCACGCAGAAGAAACAAATGTCACGCGAGAGGTTCGCATGTGTGGTTCCACTGGTGGAATGAACTTCTGTATCTGATCTGTGTAGTCCCTCATAACCAGTATACGGCTTGTCCCCTGATGAATCTTCTTTCCTAGTACTTGTTAGCTCATGGTTTACCGCTTTCTTCCATTATAAGGTGCTTTCTTTGAAGATATTTGTGTGCAGACGCTGCTGCTGTTACAGAACTTTTATCTATCTGGATCAGAGTACAAGGGGCTGATCAGCCTTTGATGTGTCTGCACATCGAGATATTCAAATGGGAGATCCACTCCCTCATAATGATATGCAATCACCTCTTTTAGGAAACTGGAGAAACAGTGGGAATTAATGAGAAATAGCTGTTCCACTCACTCCCAACAACCAGAGCGTAAAATTGGGCAGCATGGGAGCTGTGTGTGGCTCAGTGGACTAAGCCTCTGTTCCTGTAACCTGAAGGTCGCCAACTTGAGCCAAGCCTTGGAAAAACAGCCACGTGTCCTTAACCCCGAGCTACAAGCATGCCAGCAGTGACTGACCCCGTGCTGTAAACACCAAGCTTACGCTCACCTTTATGTGTGTCTCATGGAGAGCAAGATGTGGTAGGAAAACAGAGAATTTCTCCACAGGGACCAATGAAGTATCTCTATTATCAGGCTGCTGACCGCTGTCCCTAGTAGAGAGATAGCAGTTTGACTAACTGGTGTCTGGTAACTATCACGATCAAACTAGGAGTGTAGGAAAGGTAAGAATAGGTCCAGGTTTTCTGTTTTGTGTTGCTGCAGTGATGTAAAAATGTACCAGCGACTAGTCGAATGTAGGATACTGACTCTTTTCCCGATGGACAGAGCTGATTTGTGAACACAAGCAAGCACTGGAGGAGGAAAACACTGTTTGGGTGAGACCATAAGGGGCGGGGGTGTAGCAAAGTGCTATGTGCTGTCACTGAATTGTCCAAAGCCAGCAGCCATAGTAGAGTGTTTGATCAGCAAAACCTGAAGGTTACAAATCATGCCAATAAGTTGGGTAACAGCCTCAGACAGTTGCTGGAACTGCTGCCGTTTGCTACACTGGACAACACAGCAATGCCCCCTGCTTAGCCAGATCAGCTTTGAACTGCTCTGATTCCACACTACGTTCCTGGTCCTTCGCCACATCCACCACCTTCCCCCTTCAGTTGGCTTCTTGGAACAACTGTAAAGGTCAGATGCACAGAAACTCGAACGAAGAAGCACAGAATTGAGTAGTAAGTAAGTTGATTAAATAGTCAACACAGCTTGTTGAGCTCATGGACTTTTTTTGTCTCAACAAATTCTTAAATTATAATATTTTGATTCCATTACTTTTCTGTACAGTTTATGTGCTATGACTCTCTGGTCCAGCAGGGGGAGTTGTAGTCACACGGTTGTGATCAGAGTGGGAGATTTATGCAACCTGTGATCCAAACTGTACTCTGCTCCAGCTCTCTGTAACAGGGTGGGGCAGGGAGATATATTTATATATTTACATATATAAAAAAAATTTCAGAAGAAACTGGATGCTTTGGATGTTTTCATCCTTCGTCAGCTGCATTTGAGTGCAATAGATACAATCGCGTGCAATTTGTCTTTGTTTTTTTATGTCTATATGTTTTTTTAAGCATGTATTTTTTGTATAATTCTTTAACGCCGCAAGGACTGCACCTAATTTCGTTGTACCCATTACAATGACAATAAAGATATTCTGATTCTGACAAGCAGAGTGCTTCTGAGGCTGTGTCTGTGTGTGTGTGTGTGTGTGTGTGTGTGTGTGAAACTACACTTCAGAAACAAAGTTGTGCAACCCACAACAACCATCATTTGTAATGGGCTTTACAGAAAACAAACCCAAAGTTGTTCAGAATAAGTGAACTGTGGGTGACATAAAAACATCAATATTCACAGGTCTCTGCACCCCACCCCATGTACCAAAACCACCCCCACCCCATGTACCAAAACCGCCCCATCCCCGTGTACCAAAACCGCCCCCACCCCATGTACCAAAACCACCCCGCATCCCCATGTACCAAAACCGCCCCCACCCTATGTACCAAAACCACCCCGCATCCCCGTGTACCAAAACCACCCCCTATCCCGTGTACCAAAACCACCCCCCCATCCCGTGTACCAAAACCACCCCCCCATCCCGTGTACCAAAACCACCCCC